GTAATTATTGTCATATTGTATGTTCTTTGTTTGGAATTTAAGCTAAAACAAGTCATTAATTTGGTTAAATAATTAAGTTTTTACAGTAATCCTTGATCTCATGAAAGTTAATAGCTTGGACAGTTATTAAGGAGATGTCATTTGGTTGAAGCTAAAAGAATTCAATCAAAGAAGATAGTTAAACATCAGGTTATCATACAATGGTTGAAGAATTGGAATGTTTGTAGGGGTTGCAGTTTGGTTAGTATTTCAAACATGTTCTAGGCTTTTTTGGATCATTAGGCACCAAGTATATGTGCTGTTGTTACTTGAGGTGTTTTCTGACTTGATTCCTAATATTGATGGTGTCATAGAGACTTTCTAAGTCCTTTTGTAAGGTGCATTTACCGGTGGTAGATACTACTATGGTACTCGAGACAGAGACCAGAGAACAATACGAAATCAAGTATCTATCACGATCTTGTAAATTAAGTGCTGGGTGGAGAAGGTTTTCCATGAGTATGAAATTGGAAGAAGGAGATGCTATTGTTTTACACTTAGTTGAAGCTACCAAATTCAAGGTATTAATTGATAAAATTCTGCTATGTGTAATTTGCATTCCTTATTTGTCCTGTACATTGAAGCTAGTTCATCTTAGAAATGGTTCATTTCTGGATTATTTGACATGAAATTTAGATCATCAATAGTAGTGCAGATTGAGGCCAAGTAACTTATGAGCCGTGATTTGTTTTGTGGTTTAGTTTTATAAGTTTGTTGCTCCTAGCTTCCCTACATTGGTCAATAATCAATATTTCTTAATACCATGTTCTAGATCTTCACATACGTGAGTGTAATTGAGGTAATGTATTTAGTGATTTACTGATTTGGAAATTATTATTAAACACTTTTATGATGAAAGTAGATGACATAATTTCCAAATCGCTTTTATGATGAAAATAGATGGCATAATTTCCAACTCTGATGAAAGTAGATGACATAATTTCCAACTCAGATTCTAGATAAGGTCATCTACTTTCATTATAAACGAAAACTTATGGTTTACAAGCTGAGGTTGTATTAGTGAAAGTTGGGAAAATCTATGCAGTGTATATTATAATATTGAACTCATGTAGTGATGAACATGCTTTGAGTATGTCACAGTTTATGATTAGTGTTGTCAAGACCTCTACAAAAATTGAGATATAGTCTTACGAGTTACATTTACTGATGTTCTGTAACAGTAGCAACTGTAAGTAAAGAGTGTTTTAGGAGATTTCGAGAGTAATGGATTATGCATGCCTTCATTTACAACCTAGATAACAGCTTGAGGACACAACTATCTCTCTTTGCTATGTATAATGATAAAACATATATATGATAGTAGGACATAATAACCTTCGCAGTATGTAAAAATTCTCTGTTATCTTCTAGAATTCTTTCCTGATCTTAGTATATATGACTCTTGTATACACGTGTGACACTTCTGAATACATTCTTTACCTTATAGTAGCTAGCTTCTTGTCTTCATAAATTAATAATGACCTCTTCCTCACAAATCTAACCTAGCATGTCTCATTAGATTCAGATAGAATTGTTCTAACCTAGCATGTATCTTACTTAAACTGTATCCTTCTACAGGCATACATCATAAGGGTAAATTCTGCAAATGAAGTCAATCTACCTGTACATGTCTTTAATCTAGTCAGTCGTGTAAAGAGAAGTGTTTCTAGTAAAGCAGATCGCAATCAGCTATGCATCTATAGGAGAGGAGAAGTACAAGAATATTTGCAGGGGAAGCAAAGAGAGTTCAAGGCTGACAAGATACGAGGAAATGATATGCGTGTATCTCAGGTGGGTATGAGTGCTTATTGAACCCTTTAAGTAGTACCTTATTATAGCCAACAATTTTTTGCCAATGAAATTTTGCTAAATGTTGAAATTATTCTGTTGTCATTTTGTGATATTCTTTGGCTGTATTTTAAGAAGTGATATGTACACTGTAAACATCTTTTCATCTGCTTTTTTTTGTGATGAGATAACTATAATAATAATTCCTTGATCTCATGAACTTTGTTTTTAACTCGAACAGGTATTAAGGAAATCCCATTTAATTCAAGGTATTCATTCAAAGCTGATTGTTGAACATTCGGTTACTGTGAAATGGTTGGTGAAATCATACATTTCTGGTGGTTTATTGGTTAGTATTTCAAATCATGTTAATAAGCCACTTCATCAAGCAAATGTGACAAGCTGCTATTTATACGGAGTATAATTTCATCTTGAGGTGTTTTCTTACTTGGTTCTTTTGGTGGAGTCACAGCCACTTCCTACGCCATTTTGTAGGGCTCTCTTACCACTTGAAGATGCTATTGTGATACTCGAGACAGAAATTGGAGTGCAGTACGAAATTAAGTATCTGGCGCAACATTTGAGACTCAGTGGTGGCTGGAGAAAGTTTTCCATGGATATGAAATTGGAAGCAGGGGATGCTATTGTTTTCCACTTAGTTGAAGCTACCAAATTTAAGGTAGTTGTTCGTTATACACTATAATTAGTGACTATATTTTGTGATGTTTGCTTTTCTTATTTGTCCTGCTCATACTACCAAGATCAGTCTTCAGCACCAAAGTGGGAATTTCAACCTTGGGAAGCATGTCCTTTGCTTCCAATATCCTTGATAATGTTATCTGTAAAAATCGGGTTTTGAGGCTTACCAACAGAGGTATTCACTTGGTTAAGGTACAACTATCTAATATTAAGTAGATATAGAATTATCAGTGATAATTATGCACTTATATATGCATACAGTAAGTTGCAGACTTTGACATGACTGTTGTTGGCAACTTAATCCTAGCAATCTTCTTGTCATACTTATGCTCTAGATTAGTAGATTTCAAATATGGTCATAACAGTCAAGTGTGACCTTTAATTTTTAAACAATCAACTCAACTCTTTTGTAGGTATACATCATAAGAAAGAATGCTAATGAAGTCCGTCTGCCTCTTCAGAGCGAAGTGTTTCACCTAAAGCAGATAGCAAGCACCTAATTGTGTATAGGAGACGGAAAGAAAATCAGATAGCAGAAAACTACAGTTGCAAGAGAGCGAGACTCAAATCCAGAAATGCTGAAGGTTCTATGTTACTTCGTGAGAAGATACTTTTCAGTAACATCAAAAGCTTTGAAGAGTTCAAAGCTGCCATACACGAGTTGATTCAAAACCACGAGCTGCCTTACTACGCCCTTCAGGAATATTACGAACTCTGCTGCAGTCAGAATGCATTTCTTCATGCTGATTTATTCAGAGGAATAAATACAAGAGTATATAATCAGATCATAGTTAGGGCCATTAGAAAAGCCAATGCCTTCAGTACTTGCAAATTCTCCACCTTCCTCCATAAGTATGAATTATGGGACAAGGCCTTAAAGACCTTTGACGCTCTAGGAAAGAATGTCAGCTTCCTCCGTGCTCGTCTGCACCACCTCAAGAACCTTGCTGTCAGTTCAGAAGACGCAGCAGACAGAAGTCGATATGAAGTAGCATGTCATGAACGTGGACGTGCAAAAGGTGAAGTAAGGAAACTCGAACTTATACTTGCTAAGTTACAAGCATTAAAGTCCAACCCTTTCAAGGATAAACATAGAGAAGGAAATTCCTGGCTTGAGGATGTTAAAGCCGAGATAAGTAACCTCGAAGGTTTGATTGCGGAATTAGGTGAGTTTTTTTCTCAATATGATGCTCACATTGAGACATTAAAGTTAAAGGCCAAGGCTCATGAAGTGAAGTTTCAGGAAGAAGTTAGTGCAGCATGGTTGCACTGTCCTATTTGGTGAACACATACTGAATACAACATAACATTGAAGAAAATATATTGATTTCATATTTGGTTAATTATGTCTGTAAACCTTCTACTGCGAGTAAAAGGTTCTGTAATACAGTAGTAATTTACGAACTCTGTTTTCTTGGTAAATAACTAAATATACACTATACAGTACTAAATATTATCATTTTTGAGTAATCTAAAGTCTCTAAAATTCAGACATTGTTATGATCTGCTTCCTTTAGTTGCGTGGCCGTGTAACCGAGCTAGAGGCTTGCCTGAGATGCTGATACTGTAAAACACACTTGTGTTCATTGTTCCTAGTCTCCTACAATCTTCATTAAGAAAGTGACATCCAAAATTAAGGTTGTTCTTCAACGGATTCTGGTTCAGTGGTATGCTGGATCATATAATATCTAAGACAGAAGTTAAATGTTTTTACTAACAAAGCATGCTGTTATTAATACTGTACTGGAAATTGGATCGACATGTTTTTATGTGACACTAACTGACTAAAATTGGCTAACATTGGTGTTTCATGAGAGAATCAATCAACGTTTTTGGCTGTCTAAACGTTTTTTTTGGCTGTCTAAAAATATCTTTATTTTTTTGTTTGGTTGCTACTAGTTGCCAGTCTTGCCACTTGAGTGCCTAATTGACTATTTTTGAAAGAGCAATGTTGTCCCCTAAGGCCGAAGCTAGAGGTGTCAAAACCAATCTGATATGACTCGGACTGTGATTGATCTTATTAGATTCCGAGAAATTTTGGACCCAAACTCAATCTGTATCTAATCCGAATTCAACTCGAATTTGAATTTGACTCGATCTGGAATAAACCTTAACCCAATTTGACCCAACGTGAATTCAACATGATGGTAATTTGACTCAGCTTAAACCCAAATTGACACCAGTTTAATCTGATTTGAACTCAACCCGACCCGTAATTAACCTTGTACCACATTCATCAATATTTTTTTTTTTTTTTTTTTTGGGGGGCGGGGGTCTCTACCTAGTTTATAACTCCATACTCATTACTTTACTATTTTATCTCTCTCATCAAATCCATCCAACCATGAGTTAAACTCAATTTCATAAAGGTGAGGCCTTAATTAAAAAAATCTGGAGCAAGGTGAAACTGTAAAAGGTTTATATGTGTAGATAGTTACCAATAAGTGTTGTTGGCTCAAATGGTAAGTAATTTAATGTCCCTTAAAAGAGGTCTTGTGTTGTTCAAGTTTCACCGTATTCAGAATCTCAACCAGGTAGACATCCTAAAAAAAAATAAAAATATGTCTACATAGTTTAGATACCCTCTTCAAAATACGAACGAAAAACCGGGTCCATGTGATTGAGCAAGATGTCGAAAAAAGGAATCAAGTATTAAATGGGGTGTCAATTTCAAGTGGTAGCAATTGCACATCAGCTACTTCATTTGCCTTCTTCTTCTTCTACTTTGCTTTAATTATTATATCATCTGAATGCTAAAATAATAATGACTGTACCTATTATCCCTATCCCTTTCCAAGTTTTTCTCTCTCCTTAAATTACAGTCAAAACACCCAATTTAGGAATTTTTTAAAATTTAGTAGTAGCATTTAAATTGATTTTGATTTGTAGGAAGAGACTAGTAAGGAGCGGAAGAGTAAGAGGAAGTACGTCAAGAGGACTTGGTCTCGTTGTTCCCTTTCTTCTTCTGATATTTCTGTAAGTTTTTCTTCATTCTATGATTAATTATTACTCTCTCCGTTCCTTTTTTGTATGAAGTACTCCGTAATGTATATCGATGAATAACCATGGTCAAAATTTCCCGTCTTTTAATCGAATGTTATATAATGCTGGTTTCTGTTTAACACTTTAAATAAGTTGGTTACAGTAATAGTGAAAGATCTAAAAGGTTTAAAGAACATGCATTTGTTATATATTTTTATTAGTATGAGCTGTTATGATGATTATGGTTGCTGGGGTTAATTGATGGCTGATTTGCTTGCCAAAATTTTAGCTGATTGAACTATTTACTAGTCCCTAATTGAATGACATTGCTTTCTATTTTCGGATAATATGAGAAAATAATTGGATTGACCCGTCCCTTTTTATGTCTGTGCATGTGCCAGAGTATCACAATATGTAGGGATGCATGGATTTTAAGATGTTTAGACGTAGAGAGAGAAAGATAGAGACCCGTGTGACAAGTAGTTTGCAATTTTTATGGAACGGAGGCTTTAATAAAACATGGTCTATAGTTCTATACTCTATACGAGTATACAACTAGTATAATGTTTGGATGCCCTTTTTGCGACTGGTTGTAAATTTTTCTAGATTGCAATCAACCTTCAGGTTATAGTAATTTTTTGTGCTTTTGACTTAAGAAAGTTAACCCCTTCTCCATTACAATAGTGTTAAGGGAGAATTTTACAAACAAACTGAACACTCTTAACATAATATTTGGTGTCATTTTGTACCGGCATACATTTAATTGTGCTGCTATGTATAGTATAGTAAGTACATTCCTGTCAAAAAAATCTACTAGGGTACATTATTTGGTGCTGCTATGTAGTATAGTATGCTGGTACTCTAATCTTACATGAAATGATGAAATTGCATTCTAATATGCTCTGATTGATGTTAGAATAAGGACATTTTAGTGCACTAGATAGAATATCCTTCCTTGCAAATCATTGAGATTTGAGAAAATAATGTCGGCGAAGGTTATACTCCACTACATAAAGTAAGCGAAGCTAAGTGGGTAGGGACGCGACAGGGGCTGGGGTCACGTAATTAGTCCTTAATACGACTTTTTAGAGAATGTTACCTTCATTGTTGTTCATATTATTGGCAAATCCTATTAACATATTCTTGCGTGCCTCTTATTCTTATTTAATTGAGTCAAATAGTTTATTTCAAAGTTCTGACAACAGACTGGTGAATATGTCCTTTGCAGGGGTTATGGCATCAGCACAGAAAGCCCAAAAGGTTATTCAAATTGTCTGAAGAATATAGTTACATTTAATCATCCATTGTCTCTATGATCTGTTATTTCTGACATAATTGCTGGCTGTTTACTTGAAGATGTAAGCTAAATGTTGAGAAAAATCTCAATGTGAAATCTAAGTCCTTTGTTGCTACTCAAGCTGAAGAACTTCGATCCAAATTGGATCCGAGATATCCAAGCTTTGCTAAATCTTTGGTGAAGTCACATGTTACTGGTGGCTTTAGGATGGTAAGCATTAGACTAATATCATAATATGTGCTAGATTTGGCTATTGCTGAAATTTGTAGTACCTATTCATTTAATATGTTCGACTTTTCTGGGTACAGGGACTTCCTGCGCCATTCTGCCAGAAGCATTTACCATCGAAAGATACCATCATAACATTGGAAACTCAACATAAGAAGCTATATAAGACAAAATATCTTGTAAGAAAGACAGGTTTAAGTGGCGGGTGGAAAGGATTTGCTATTTCTGAAAGATTGTTAGTAGGAGATGTTCTTGTATTTCAGCTAATAGCAGACGCCAAATTCAAGGTAAGCTTGTCTTAGGCATATCTTTCTGTTTCTTTGCACGTTAAATTTCTGCAAAGGTTGTGCTGGCTAATTCCGACCTAGAGAACTTTGATAGAATGGTAGGAATATGATGAGTGTTAAGCCTATTATAAAAACCGGAATGAGCAAAATTTGTGAGTTTGGTGGGGAGATAACAAACCTTATCCTTCGTAATATATTGTAACATTTGCAAGTCTTTCAGGAAGAAGATTTGGTGTCCTATTTATTTAATTAATTCATCTGCCCCAAAAAAATAAGGAGGATGAACAAATTTCGAAATAAAGATCTCGATTTTGATTACACTTGTTTCAAGCACAACATTATTACAAAACTAGCAGCTGGTGAGCATAGTTTTTATTGTACTTTGATCTTATATTAGTTATATAAAATCCTTCGTAGGTCTACATAATTAAAAGAATATAAAGTGACTGAGGTAGATGGAGCTCTCTTCCTGCTAAAATTGGATACTCCCGAAAAACAAAGTGATCCTGGGAGGTTTGTCTCAACTTTTAATATACTTATATCCCCTCTGTCCCAGCTTGGAGTTATCGTTACCAGTAAAAAATTGTTTTCCCAGCTCGAAGTTAGGATCCACACTCATCCACTACATTATTTCTCTTTATTATCTTCCTCCAATCTCCATTCATTGAGCTGGGATGGAGGGAGTATATCCTGAAGTCTCAACCTTACTGATTATTTCAGTCTGACAACTTCACCAGAGGAGCTAGAAAGTGTATAGACTCGCCTCAAGTTGATCAGAGAAGTATGCAGCCACCTGAATACTCAGAAAGCAACAGTACTGAAAATTCTTTTAGATCAAGAGTTGCTGATGGTTTCCCGATATGTGAAGAAGCAGCTTTAAGTCCTAGTGCTGTTTCTACATTTGACAACTTTAGCATTGTAATCAACGACTTGCTTAAAGACTATGAGCTCCCTCGACATATTAAGTGGAGCTACTATAAACTGTGTTGCAGTCAGGACAGTTTGCTTCATGCCAATCTTCCGCATTGGATGAACCATATTTTGATAGGTGGAGTCATAATTGAGACTGTTACCATCGCTGATGCTTTAAGACAGTGTGATCTTTCAACTTCCAAGGAAGAATTTGCCATATGGGATAAGACTTTAAGCGCGCTTGAGCTTCTTGGGATGAACAACGGTTTTCTGCGTTCCCATTTGCACCATCTACAAAGAATTGTGCATGATCCGGAAGTAGCCACCTTCAAACAAAGATGTTTGGAGCTATGTTCTGAGAATTCTCGTGCAGAAGATGAGATCAGGAGTCTTACGGCTAGACTTGCTGAATTGAAGAAGGTCCATAAGAAACGTGCTGCTGATATCGATAATCTGAAGTCGAAGATTAACAATCATGAACTCAAGTTTCAGGAACAGGTACATGCCCCCTGGTGAATTGGTAATAACCCTCACTACGAGAAACGTTAGACAAATCCTGTCCAATCCCAGTTCTTTATTTTTTTTCAAAACCACCCCTAATTAGAAGGGAAACCCCAGGCCAGTCTCGTTCAAAATATCAAAAAATTGCCCGGTCCAATCCAAGTGTATGAGATTTGTCGTAGCTCCTTTCGCCGCAAGTTGCAAGGAAGATAGCTGTGCATTTTTGAAAATGGTAGTAGATGTTTACTTGTTTCAAATTGTTGTGTAATTTGTAATTTTGTGTAGCTTTTGCTCTGATATAATATATAATAGCTGATTAGAGAAATGCTCTTTTTTTGTTTTTTGGATGTTTTAACTTTCAGGAGAATTAGCAAATCCTATTAATTAATTGATTATGCAGAAAATCACTCTAACAATTAGACATTTGGATTCTTTATTGTGTGGTGTAACGGTGTTCCAGCAAGATCAATAAACATAAACAATGAACCTCAAGGTAGGAAACTAAGGTGGGCTGGGTATCAAATTGGCTAAGGCCCATGTCGATCCAGCCCATGTGCTGAATCATAGGCTTGGAGTCACATGACTCACATCCCAATTATAGCGTATTGTAGTGAGATGCAAAATCCCATTTTCTTACGACGTTTTTTCTTTCTTTTTTTTTTTTTTTTTTTGGAGGGGGGGAGGGGGGGGTAAGAAAAAGGGGTTAATTTGAGGGGGGAGAATAAGGGAAATATCTCAAATGAGTCCTATGAGGTTTGATCCCTATACTTCAGGGATACGAGGTGGGAGCGATGCCACTAGTCCATCATCGTTAATACGACGATATTGGTGCGTGTAACAAGTCGTATCTCATTAGTGATATACTGGGTAGTGAATTACTTATTTTCACCTAAGGTACTCCCTCATATTGACTTGTGCCGAATTATGCAATTGAGTTAAATTTGTTAGTAGGTGTGTAAATTTTATATGAGAAATTAATTTTAATACGGAGTATAATTAGAGTTCTTTTCTCCGTGTTTCCGCGTGGTATATTAATTTATCTCGACAAAAAAGACCCAAGCTATCTTTTCTTCAAAAATAAAATAAAATTTAACACACATTTGTCTTATTAAAGAAATTTGGAATGAATTTCATATAAATACCGTACCCTCATCTGAAACTTAACAATAACTAAAAATACTACAATACATATATCCATTGCAACGAAAGAGTAATCGTCGATCAAAGAACGAATCAACAAAAACTCAGATTGAAGATTATCAGAACAAAAATAAAAAAATCGAATCTGATAATCTTGAAAGACTACCCTCTGATTCAAGATCCATCGTAACGATTCAGATCGAAGTGAGGTATGGTTTGCGTGCGGTGGGACTGCGGCTGGCCGTGACTGCGGTGGGCTCTCCTTTAGTATGTCTTGCATATGTATAGCCAAGGCAATTTTGCATTTTGGTAACGTCAGTGGCTTGGTTTACCAAGTAAGCTTTCTGTAAGTAGGGTCTCCAGGATATACGAAGTACATGCCAAGATATTGGCTATTTAGCTAATTGTATGAAAACAAATTAGAACTAGCGGTTTATAAGTGATTTGATAGTAATATTGCAATACAACTACGGAGTAGCTGAAATTGGTTGCTTTGTCGTAAGGAACCTTCATATTTGCGGTGGCTTAGCATCTGGTTAGCTTTTGGGGGAATTTCTTTATGTGAACCTGTAAAACTCTTCTGGTTGATCTGAGATGTGTAATATAGTATTTTGTCGAACATATTTGAGGTTAAACAACTGCCCTTTGGCTGTATACTAAGAAAATTTATCCTATATTAGTAGTGTGATCTCATTCAAGCACAGTTTAGACAGCAAACTTAAGAAGTCAAGAGACCATGAGGGTAACATGCTTCTGAGTATTATTTGACTAAACTAATTATAAAAATTTCTAGACTAAATCCATCAGCTTTGCTGAATGTAGATCTAGTAATATTGACCCCTATTATACTCAAAACTGAATTTTCAAATTTGATCTAGACCCAAAATCTAAATATGACAAACTTGATCAATCTTTCTAAATTAGACTTATGTGCTATAAACTCGAGTTGAAGAATTTGGTTAGCTTATATTTTGGGACATTTGCTGTGGTAGTTTCCTTTTTTAATCATTATTATTAGCATCTTCTCCTACAGTATTTAGCTTTAAGATTGGTAATCTACACCTTGTTTGAGCAAGTCAATAAGCAAGTAAGCAATAACTTATACACTTGGGTGAACATAGAAATACGAGTTGTTACCATCATACTCGGGTTTTAGATGTCTTATACACCTCAGACTGTAGTGCATACAGTTATTATATTACTACTGTATATGTAAATCTGCCTTATGAAGATAAGAGTACTCCTTCAAACTCAATTCACAATCTAAAAGGTGCATGTGCGTTAAGTCTAAATCATACATTATTAAACGTTGTAAAATTGAGATCAAAGATCCAACAATTTAAAATGGCAGCAATCAAATGAGTGTTGAAATAGTGAATTTGGGGTCCATTATTTACTTTATTTTGGCTGCATTAATATGGGGTTGGTTATTTTTTCTGTTATTCCGCAAAGATGTACTCTGATATTATTTGGTTATTTTTCTGATTTGATGGTTTTATTTTATTTTTTGACTTGATGTCGATTTTTTGGAACCTTTCTTTTTGAATTCCCATCACCTGGTCAATTGAAATCTTTTTAATTTGTCCGAAACCAAGATTTTGCTTTTAACTCATTTTCACAAGACTCAATAATGTCACTGAAATTTTTCCGTTATTTTACATCACAAGTGCAATTTGTGTAATGAGGGTGATGGGTCCAAGTATATTTCCTCTCTTTTCATCATTTATTTTCCTGTTTGTTTTTTTGGCTTATCAAAATAGTGTACTTGTTAATTCACCAATTTTGACTAAATTAGTTAATCATTTCATAATAGGTTGTATAAAGTCTGGGTTTATTGCAAATGAGTTTAGGTTTGAAACCCGTCTACATTCATACCTGAAATATATATTTGCATCCGTACCAAAACAAAATACCTTTTACGTCAATTAGTTAGCAGTTATTTGTACCCATCTTGTCCATCTACATCCATTCCTAAAACAAACTTACTACGTATATCATCAATTGCCTAATCCATCAACATCTAATTTTCAAAACCCCATTTACCTCCCTGCCTAAAAGCAACCGTTTGCATCAATTAGCCATCAAAATTTCCAAACCCATCGACATCCATATCTTACAACCTCATGTGTCACCATGTCTTATGAATTCCATCTTCTTTAATTAGCCTTTATACCAAACATAATCTCGTTTGCATCAATTTCCCTTTTAACTCTCTTTCCTCGAAATTCAAATAAAACTATCATTTTACACACAGTGAGATATTCACAAACGCACACAAACGAACTCAATAGTATCGAAACAATGATGATCAATGTGATTAGGACTATTATGACGATCCGCAAAAGGTCTGTTTATTACACCAAAGGGGGGAAGGGGTAGTGTTTGAAAATCAAAGGTAAACTAGTTGTTGATTACATACCCAAGTACATTAGATTGAAATGAAGGTACATTACAAGACCCAACTACAAGCAGAACAGATCTAATCATCCGAAGTTCCGAACCAATAGGAAGAAAGGAAAGAGAGAGAGAGAAAAACCTGCATACAATTTTTTTTCCCCTTTTGTACATGAAAACACCTAAAAGGACAAGTTTCTAGGACAGAAAACACTAGAAAGTCCCCCAAAAAAGGTGATTAATCAACCCACTAACCCACATATTAGCATCCTCTAGATTCCATAATAACCTCCTCTGAAAAATTGAAGGTAAATAGAAAAAAAAAAAAAAAAAAAAAAAAAAAAAAAAAGATAAAAACAGTCAAAGTTGCACCTTCCCTCTATGAACAGTACACCAAACTGATCTCTGTAATTAAATTCCCATCTCCATATCACTGCTACTTGAAACTTCATTGCTCACCATTTCCTGAAATTTCAACAAATAGACATTCAGAATTCTGTAAATCTAGCTAGGAAAGGATCGGAACGTGATTATTAATTCCGGACAGAGGGAGTGTTTCTATGTTTGATAAGATAAGGTACATAATTAAGCTGAAAAGTGAGAGTAAAAGGTTAAAACCTGAGGAGATTTGGCAGGATTTGGATCTTCAAGGGAGAAAGAAAACCTTTTTCCAGAATCAAAAGAAACATCCATTTTCTCAGGCTTTTTAGACCCAATGTGGGACTTTCTAAGACCCAAGAAACCCTTCCATCTATTAGAAGAAGAACCCTTAGGAGGCTTAGGAGAGAAGCCAACATCATCATCATTAACAAGAAGCTCATCTCTTAAGGTCCTCTGACCGTTTCCATTGTCTTTGAAGGGCAAGAGCCTGCCTTTAGAGAAGAGTTCATCAGCAGTAGTAGTGAGGGTATTAGAATTAGTAACAGAGAATTCAAAATCAGAAGAAGCAGGTGGTGCTAATTCTGATCTTGTAAAATGATGGTGATTGAGATTGTGATTGTGAGATTCAACAAAGTCATTAGAGAAAGATATTCTAGGGCTCATTGGAGGAAGAGGAGGCTGAGAATGAGGAGGATGAGAGTTGTTGTACATCTCTAAACATGCCATGAGAGAGTGAAAGAAAGAGAGAGAGAATTGGTGCACTGAAACAAGAGAGCAAAATAAGGGCCTGTTATTATTAGTATCATCACAGCATAACCAAACAAAAAGGACTTAGTTTTTTTTTCCTATGTTAATTAATATTTTTGATGGACCCAATATTAGTGTATTGCCCTCTGTTTTTATCCTCTTCCTTTAACCCCACTTCTCTTTCTTTCTCTCTCTTTGGGTTTCAGTATTTTATATCACAGGCTTTAAGGCTGGACAGAGTAGGAGCCTTTGAAGTTTGAATGCTTTTCTTTATTTTCAATTTAGGTTTTCTATAAGGATATAATAGTGTAATATAGCCCTTAGGATTATGTAAAAGCTAAATTTAATAGAGATAAAATAACGATAACACACCTTTTGAATTGGATGACTTGTCTAGTGCCACGCGGTTTTATTGAGTTTGGAAGTTGGTATTAACGTTCAATAACGGGACTTGAGTAGGGATTCAAGGATGGTTCTAGCTTTGAGGGGGTTAAAAAGTATAGTTACTTCGTATTTTATCATTCAAATTGAATCTAACTAGTTAAGAATACTCCCACGTATTTTACAAACTTATGACATGTTCTCTTCTCCTAAAATAAGATGGTGTGATCTAAATTCTATTGAGTTTTGATCTAATTTGGTTTAGTCTCCTAATTTGATTGAACTTTGACCATATGGTTTGAACTAGTTTCTTTTGATCAAATTCTACGGAATTTAAAAAAAAGTACCCCATGATAAGTTCACAGTGAAATGAACATATATTTACATTCGACGCACTCGGATGGTGGTAGTTGTTTTAAAACTGTTAATGTACTTCATGCATGATGTGATGTTTTGGTAAGACATAAAAGTTTTGCATTGAATGGCTAGTTTCATGCTTGAATTCATGACTCATAGAGAAGATGCTATGTTCCTCCTTTGCTTCTTGTCCGGATGCTCAGCCTTTTAGGATAAATTTTTCTTCTCATCAATGGTTCTCTTTTTATATCAAAGTTTTTCATATTTCTGAATCTGAAGCCCCCCCCCCCCCCCCACCCAAAAAAAAAAAAAGAAAAAAAGAAATTGGTGTTACTGATAAATGTTGAATTATTACAAATGAGAAATAAATGATTGGGAATTTATGTGGATGTATTCAGTCCACAACATACAAGAATCCAAACAATTGGTCCACAGCATACCAAGAATTCAAATTGAATTTCATTCATTATTTTTATTATAGATTAACCAAGAAACCAAAAGATGAACATGACATAATTCATAGAGAGGCAGTATGTTTGAGACATTAGTACATGTGATTATATGCACACCAAGTACTGCAATACTATTGTAGGCCCCTTTCATATGGTTTTTCAAGTACAGAAATATCAATGTATTAATTCCTGAGTTTATGGGTAGGAGAACAATCATAGGTTAATAACCATGATTGGACCATAATGCCTTCTAACCCCATCATTTGAAACATTAGGTGTGTATTAGTCGTACGTGGATCATTGCCTATTCTTATATTGACTAGGCGAATACTCGTACTAATTTTGAATGTGTGATTGTTAATAGTCCAATGTGTAAAGTCGATTAGAGTAAGCGAGGTTTAAAAGGTATAGCTGTCAAATGGTAAGAGTTTGAACAAGAAAAATGGGGTAAATGAAAGGAACAGGAGTGTATTAAAAGAAATCAGGGCATTTATGAAAGGAAATTGGATTGTTGTTGCAAAAGAGGAAAAAGGGTGTAAATGTGATTAGCTGGGAAATATAGGAGAGAGAAAAAGAGAAGGGATGTTATGATTTTGATTGGGATTTCTTTCTTTGTATTCTGGTAACAGTTAACCCAAGAGGAGTTGGGTTGGCATATTGTATTGTGTAGTGGCAGAGTTGACCAAACTTTGACTTGTAAGTAATCAGAATATGAGCTGGCGATACTGACTCATCAAACTCACCACGTGATTAACCCATTGGTCCTTTTTTTTTTTTTGCTACTGTACCCCTTCCATTCTTCATTGGAATTTTCCATCTTTATTTTATTTTTATTTTACTGTATTTGATCCATTTTTTTGTACTCCCTAGTTTTTTTATTTATGTTTTGTTTTGTACGGATTATAAATATTGCATTATTTTGCATACCAAGACTAATTAGGAAAGCCAATATTGATATTAATGCCTATCCTTCTAGTGGAGAATTGTGTCATGCTCTTCATCTACAATATTTACCAGCAATAGTCTTGGCATTGAGGACAATATTCAAAGAGTGCTATTGTAAACCTCGATAAGTGACAACTTTTTGTTGTAATTAATGAAAGAATGATGCATAACTTAAAATTAATTTCGTACTCCCTTTCTTTTATATAATTTGTAATTTTATGTGTTGCACATAATTTAGGGGTTTGTAATATAAATTGGAAGGGAGAATGAACCATTTTTGTATTCTATTGGAAGGGAGAATGAGCTTTATATTACAAAGTGAGGTAAATAGAGCAATTTTTATTTTTATTTTTAATTTTTTCTTTTGAATAAGTAAATAGAGCAAATTTATATATGCATATAGTAAAAAGGGCTGGAATGATTTTATAATATTAACTTATATGAAGTGCAAAGAAAAATGAGATTAGTCTAAAAGAATATGAATATTGTTTGTTAAAAAATTAATTATTGAGAACACATTATGATTGTCAAGACTCAAGAGTGTATAATTAACCAATTCTAAAAACAATGCTAAATAGGCAGTCCATTATCTTAAAATCAATAATAAAGTAAACATCATAGGAATACACTTTAAAACTAAAGTACTTTTTGTAATGTAGTGAATTAAATTGTTGAATTAGATCACTCTATAGGGTAGCGGCCGAAAGGATATAATGTTAGTAAAGTAAAATGAGTAATCACATGATTAAGCATTAGTTGGATTAAGAAACTCGAATAGGGAAATGCCACGTGCTGGATTCCCCTTAATTAAAAAAGGATTAAGATGGATGACTAGTCAAAGGCATTATAAACCTGAAAGTTGTATTTTAGGCTTGGCTTAAGGCTGCTGTCCATCTTTTTGGTCCCCCAAATTTGAAGCAAATTTTGGTGTTTTCTGTATACTATTGATTAACACTACGAGTACTTCTTTTTCTTCCTTTTTGAACTGTATATAACAGTCTACTTATTTTTTAATTATTGGTGAAGTATAAATCATATTCTTAAACTTCATTAATTTAGAATTTAGATTGATTGATAATTAGAGAATTAACAAGTCTAAATATATAAATGTAGATCTCGTAAATCAATGTGAAATCTGAAAAAAAATCAGAGGGTAAGATAAATAGGAAGGTTCTTACCAAGTGCATGTAACCAATCACATTAAAACCCACCAAAACCGTGGGTAATTGGATCATTAAGTAATATTCTAGTGTGAGAATATAAAAGCTTGGAATTTGTGTTATTTTTTTTGCTTGTGTAACAGTCCAACGGCTTACTCGATGCTGGAAACTTCACATGTCTGTTCTCTTATTTGGCCTTTGGCTTAATCCACAGCCCAATGGAAGAAACCCCAACCCCCCACCCCTAGGCAATTTCAATCACACGTAATCCCTCCATCTCTTATTTTTTGTCCCATACCAAATATATGGGTTAAACTTTTATAACTTTGACCATGAATTCTCATTAATCTATAAGTGATAATATATTCATGTAAGATCTTGTTAAAATCGTCTTATAATATATTTTATTAATATTAAGTTTTTATAATTTTGACGCGTATAAAAATAAATATGTATTCGTTTGAAGACACATGTTAGAGATTGTAAAAAGTCAAATGGGGCAAACAATAAGGGACATAGGGAGTAGTACTAATTACTTTGTTAGTTTGGAATTAAGGTGAAAAAAACACACCTTATGATTAGAACTATTATTTTGTATTATAGAACCTTAGCCCTCATCAGTTTGAATAAGAAGAAACGAATATAGGCTAATTATTTTGTTATACGAGAAGCTAGGCTTGCTTTAATTCTTAAATGTAAATGTTCAAAATTCATGTCTATATCTTCTTATGTTCGTATAATTGTTTCACTACAGAGTATTTGGATTTTTACACTTCCACTATGATAAAGTTGTCTTCCTTACAAAGAAATGAGTTCTTGGTCAATTTCATAGTGTATCGAATATGGATTAGGTTAACATGAAAAACTGAAATTTGTAAATTTAGAAATAGGTGGAGTGAGTTTAAGAGCATTAATAGAGGGTGCACTTTTATTACCATCTACTATTTAACACCCAGAGGTTAAGACCAAAAGGCTAGAGTAATGGTTTGTGTACATCGTGATAAGATTGATAGTGTGTGATCACACTCATCACGATTTCCTCCATTTTGTTAATTGGCTCATATTTTACCTTTGTACTATTCACATAATTGGGTTTGACCGTCTTTAGTGATTATGGAAGAAAATAATTTTCTTGGATTTTGATATAATCATTTTAATGAATATTTTTAAAATATAAAATTATAATATTTTTAATTATTTATAATTAATTTTTAGATATATTGATGGTAGAAATTATATGTTGATAGTTATAAGTAAAAAAAAAAATACTCTATTCAAAAATTAAAATAAATAATAAAAAAAAGAAACCTAAAATAAATGTGTCTACTATAATATATGGTACGTGGAACCGTGGTAGCACTAGGTTTGAATAAAGCTTTCCGAAAAACCGAAAACCTGAAAATTCAATTCGTAACTGTTCCGAAAATTAGGGTATCTGATCAGATAATCATAACGGTTCGGGTACCCGTTCCGATAATTTGTTATCGAGTATGCTTATTGGGTATCAATTTAATATTAACGGTTACCCGATCCGATCCGATAAGTAATTTTTTGTTTTTCTTTTTCCTACTTAAATCTATTTTTCCAAAATCTAAACTCTTACTTTACTTCATAATCACTTTTATAATATCAATGATTAGTAATATTATTAATAATTTAGTCAAGATCATGTGGTATTGTCATTAGTTAGTATTAAATGATATCATAATAACTACATTATTAAGTATAATTATCATTATTAGATATCTTATTGGATACCCGATAACTGATCCAAAAATCCGGGTACCCGAAATTCAGGTACCCGAACTTATCGGTTCAGTTTATGGATATCACTTTTAGTGATATTGGTTATCGGTTACCCGAACCGTTAGTACTAACAACAGGGGTACCCGTCCCATGCTCATCCCGAGATAACACTAGGGCTGAGCATAATTATCCAAAAACCTGAAAACCCGAAAACCCGAACCGTAACCAAACCGAAAATTTAGGGTACTCGTTCCGATAAACATAACGGTTCGGGTACCCGATCCGATAATTTGTTATCGGGTACGGTTATTCGGTATCATTTTAAAATTAACGGTTATCCGATCCGATCCGATAAGCATTTTTTTCATTTTTTCCCTACTTAAATCTATTTATCCAAAATATAAACTCTTACTTTACTTCATAATCACTTCATAATTTAAATGGTTAGCAATATTATAAGTAATTTGGTCATGATCATGTGGTATTATTGCTAATTAGTGTTGAATGATATCATATTAACGAGATTATAAAGTCTAAATTTTCATTATTGGATAGCATATTGGATACCCGATAACCGTTCCGAAAATTAGGGTATCCGAACTTATCGGTTCGATTAATGAATATCATATTTAGTGTTATTGGTTATTGGGTACCCAAACCGATAGTGTTAACGATACGGGTACCCGACCTATGCTCACCCCTAGATAGCACTACTTGGTCAAACCCTCAAACAGTTCATTTGTCTCCATGTATGGGTTTGTCAAACTTAATGGGCCGCTGTGTCCAGATGAGTGCTTCTCATTCATCCATCGGGATCCATAGTTAATGGGCCTGCATTTTATATGCGCTAATTTCAAGTCCAAAGGACTACTGCCCATTTTGGATTAATGGGCTCATATATGGTTTGACTTTCGGTAAAAGGCCCCAAAACAATTGTTCTTCAATCTTCATGAAATCCCAATAGTAATGTCATGTATCTCATTTGATGTTATAACAAGTGTTCTGAAGCTCCAAGCCTTGAACGAGCATTCTCCAATTTTCAAATTATTTGAAGAAATGAAATATGTTAAAATATGTCTTAAATTCGTATGCCTGTATTATTGTATTAACATGTATGGTCTGGGGACTTACTGTTTAATCTAATTGTAACATGTCAAAAATAACTTATTTCTATTCAAGGTAGAAAATAATGTCCTTAAATAAAGGCATTAGCTTTATCAATTGTTTAGTAGTTTATGTACTTTAAAGGGTGATTCCGTGATTGTATTATTGTATTATTTGTATAAACTAGCTGAATTAACAATATTAATCTACATATGTTTTATTGAATTTGTCACCAAATTTAGCTTCTCTTATAATCTTTCTATATGCAGTATATTCCTTGTTTTCTTCACACCTTCTCCTTGTATCAATATTAGTATATTACACCAAGAAGTAATGAGATTTTCGTAGATATATATAATCATTTACTTGTTTTTAAAAAAAAGATACGGAGTACAAACTATGAGTAATATAATAGGATGACAGAGTGTGAACTGATCAAGATTGCAGCAACACCAAAAAATGCAAGTATTTTTAAGTTGTAACCTTTAAGCTTAACAGTTAAGACTTGGAAGATCAAAACTTGAAGTACACTAATTTCAAAGCCTTAATTTAAGCGCACACACGTTTGCGAGCACACAAAATCTTGCAAAATGCAATGAAAAGGCACAAATTCTAACTTCTAGGCAGTTTCCAGCTCAATTTACCTTGATAAACAATATTCATATGGAGTACGGAGTACTATATTATAGTATTATACTAAGGAACTACAGAGGTATACTATAGAATTATCATATTTATCTATATATATATATCATGGTATAAATTCATATATAATGCTCAAAATCAAAAAAAAAAAAAAAAATGTATGCATCATCGTATAATACTAGTACTGCAAAACAAACACAAGGACTACCATACCCTGCAGCACCGATGAACAATATTGCAGCAGGGCAGCCATATTCATCGCATTATAATGCTTCGTCTGTCGTCGTCCATGGGACGGGTCCATGGTCTACCGGACTATGCCACTGCTGTGATGACCCTGCCAACTGCTTGGTTACGGCCTTTTGTCCTTGCATCACCTTTGGCCAAATTGCCGAGCTTGTTAATCAGGGTGACCCTGGTAAGTAGTATAGCAGTACTGCATGTACTGCTTAAGTGCTTAATTGATTAGCCTTTTTCCATTCTTCGCGTTTTAATCTTTCAAGGATTGGTGAATGCAGGTTGTGCAGGAAGTGGAACAATATACGCGTTGCTAATGGGATTCTCGGGTTTAGCATGCTTATATTCATGCTTCTATCGGTCAAGGTTAAGAGGGCAATATGGGTTGGATGAGTCACCTTCTGCTGATTGTTTGGTTCACTTCTGTTGTGAACCTTGTGCACTTTGCCAAGAGTACCGCGAACTCAAGAACCGTGGTTTTGACATGGGCATAGGTAACAAATTTATTTGAAATCTATCGATGCTACTCGAAAGTGTTTATTAGCAAGCCCCATCCCCTCTTGGTGCATTCTCCGTTCAATGAAGCTCAGTTTGAACATTAATGACTCTGCTATGTTATCCTCAAATAGTTAAGTTCAACATATAATTAATAGCCAAGTAAAGTAGAAACTAGCCAAAAACAATGCAATTAAGGTTATGTTGTGTTAAATAAGTTAAATTTAGGAAATATAAAGTGCAATGAAGTGCACACATCACAATTTTCAAGAGAAAAAAGTTCAAATAACTTTTATTTAGGATAAAAGAAAAAGAAAAAAAAAGTGTTACCTAGTTCAATTTACTTTGAATTGGTAACAATTGTTAAGAAAAAGGAAATTGAAGTTAGGTGAGACAAAGGGTTTTTCTATGAACGAGCGTTCTTTATTATTTACTGTATTTTTTTATTTTTATTTTTTTTGCACATAGTACTATATTGTAGTAGTATACTCTATACATACCGAGTAATTGTATACTCCATTTTCATTTTATTACATTAGTAATTCTAATGAGGTTTCGGATTCCATATCCTAACAATTCTAATTGAATGACTGTTATATCTTATATTGTTGGAACTTCTGCAGGTTGGGAGGCTAACATGGAGAGGAAGAGGGCAACAGTGGTTACAGTGGCTCCTCCTGTCGGCATTATGATGCGCTAATCGATTAGCAGCCACATGTTGCAATTAGTTAAGATTTTGGCTGAATTATCCTGTGAAAATAGCCTTGTTCAACTTAATCCGATCCTTAATATTAGTATGTGTCACTTTTAATTTTGTTGTAATTCACCATCAAATATAGTTCATATGCTAGATGAATAACATTTTATATTTTATATTTATTCAAAGTATGTGCATCTAGAATATATTCAATGGAACAAAATATACTCCGTATATACCTCGTGTTTAAGTATTTTTAAAAATTATAGTGATGACTCCCGATCCTTTTTAGTACGTATATCGTTTTGAAATTTTTACGGTACAAGCGTCTTTATAATGGTTGGTACAGTAAAAAAACGTGGAAAGAACATGTAGTTGTTTTGTAAAGGACATACAACTGTTTTGTAAAGAATATCCAGCTTTATGTTTTTTTCGTATATTTGAAGAACATCTGTAATATTAATAAATAACATGGTAATATTATGTACAGAACATTATTTATATATATCCACCATAATTTAAAGAAAAAATTCACCATTGAAATTTTACAACTTATTATCATAAAGTAGTACGTAACAAAAAAACTACTATATCAAAAAAACTTGAAAATAACATACCGGCTTAACTTATTATCATGTAGTAGTACGTTAAGAAAACCAAGTACTAAACTTCAAAGTGGTAGTCATCATGGTGGTAAATTCAGCTAAATTAATGAAGCCATCACCATCATTATCAACCTCCTTAATCATTTTCTTACAAGACTCTAAGCTATACATTTGCCCCATCCTCCTTAACACTTCCATCAACTCCTTAGCACTTATCTTGCCATCACCATCAGAATCGAAAATCCGAAACGCGCTCTCTATATCCTTAGACACTACTAGAAATAGGCAAAATAGTGACGGTTTACTTCCGACGGACGGTTTTTCCGTCGCAAAATTCAAAAATTACGACGGATTTTATCTACGACGAAAATTCCGTAGTAATCTTGCGACGGAATTTTTTTCCCTCGTAATTTTCTTTTTACGACGGAATATTTCGTCGAAAATATGTTTGCGACGGAATATTCCGTCGTAAAATGAAAATTACTAGGGAAAAAAATTTCGTCGTAAGATTATACGTTTTTTAAAAAATACCCAAATTGGACTAAACCTAAAAAATCGAATTGGAAACAGAAGAAAGAGAAGGAGAGAGAAAGAGAGAGGGAAAGAGAAAAAGGGGCATCTGTCGCCGGCCGTCCCGATTTCGGCGCCGGTCTTCACCAATCTGCCGCCGACGAAGACCAAAACGAAAGGAGGACGAAAAGGAGAAAGAGGACGAAAAGGAGAAAGCGAAACAGGACGAAAAGGAGAAAGAGAAAGAGGTCGAGCCTCCGTTTTCCGGCGACCCTCCGTTGACGCTTCTGGTTGTTGCCGGCGCCGCGTCTAGTTAAGTTGTTTTTGTTTTTTGTTGTTTTTTTTTATTCGGTTTTTTTTACAACACATTCAAATCTGCAGCCTTCCTTGACACCACAACCGCAGCCTCTCTTGACCACCGCAGCCTCCGGCCTCCTCCCTTCCCTCGCCGTGGCTGAAGCAGTTGGTAAGTTGTCCTTTCCCTATTTTTTTTTTTAATTTTTTTTTAATAATAAACCCTTATTTATTTAATTTAATTATTTTTTAAAAATATTTTGTATGTAGGATTTGTACAATTTGTCAAAAACAAGTGCAGATCTAAAGGTTAGTCACATTACAAACCCTAATATAATGTGTTTTAGTTTAGTTTAGTTACTTTTTTTTTGTGTACGTATGTTAGTTTAGTTTAGTTTACTTTTTAATGTGGTTTAATTTAGTTTAGTTTTACTAAAGTATATTAGATTAGTTTAATATTATGAAACTTTAGTTTAGTTTATTTTAATATAATGTGGTTTAATTTAGTTTAGTTTTACTAAAGTATATTAGATTAGTTTAATATTATGAAACTTTAGTTTAGTTTATTTTAATATAATGTGGTTTAATTTAGTTTAGTTTTACTAAAGTATATTAGATTAGTTTAATATTATGAAACTTTAGGTACGTTTTGTTTGTTTTGTTTAATATGATGTATGTTAGATTACTTTAGTTCATTATAATCTAGTTTAGTTTTGTTTAGTTTAATATAATGTTTCTTACTTAAGTATAATTTTTTTATAATGCATGTTACTATATTTAATATTATGATATGTTAGTTTAGTTTGGTTTTGTTTGGTTTGATTTGTTTATATTAATGTTAAGGTTTTATGATATGTTTGTTTATGTTAAGTTTAATTATGATATATTTGTATAATTTTTTGTATGTTAGTTAAGTATATATATTTTTTTTAAAAATCATTTGCATAATCATATGCCTAGATACTCGTTCAAGGCATACATATTAGGAGTATGTCTTGAATAGTCCCCGGTTGGGACTGTCCTTGTACGTTTATTCTCACTTAGGTGGTGAATGTATTCCTTTGTTTTAATTCTAAGGAAGATCCTTGCTTGTCATTTCTCTACAATGTTCTCTAGGTACATATATAGGTGTTTCTAATCGCCTATATTGTGTACTTGGGGAACTGTAGGGAGATGCTGCCGGATTTTCCATAGAATTGAAATTCTGGCATACATTCACTAGTGAGATTGAACGTACAAGGATGGGTTAGGTTGGAGTGATAAGGACCCTTGGAAATCATTTCTCTTCTCATTTGCATTTCCATAACAGTTTGATCTACAATGAATATATATTGTGCTTTATGACTAATGTGATTAATGGCATATGTGTTAGTTGTGTAGAACATGTAATCATGAAACGAAAAGAACGTAGCTGGATGTACGAAAGGAAGGTTGGGAATTCTATTAATCCTGAGTTCTTGAAGGGGGTAGATGAATTCCTTAAATATGTGGAAGATCATCCCGAGAGTAGCAACCCGAATGAAGTTAGGTGTCCATGTTTTAAATGCAAAAACAAACGTCTCTGGGATCCAGATACGGTCAAACTTCATTTGTATCGCAGCGGTTTTTTACCTAATTACTACGAGTGGATGTGTCATGGGGAAGGGTTTCCAGGAACTCGTAGAAGGGAGTCAAATGAATATCGTGAAATGGTTTTGGATGCCTTTGGTCAGTCTCAAGATCAAGGCCATTCCGAAGAGCCACCTGTTTCATTAGAGGAGGAGCCTAATGCACAAGCCAAGCCATTTTTTGATTTGTTAAGGGCTTCTGAACAACCGTTGTACGAAGGGAGTTCGTTGTCTGTGTTAGAGATGGCTTCTAGAATCACTAGCCTAAAGTGTGAGTATAATTTGCCGCACAGATGTGTTGATGGATTTGCTTCTTTGGTTAATGAAGCGATTCCTAACAACAACCACATGGCCGAGACATTCTATGAGGTCAAGAAAATTGTTAAGGGGTTAGAGATGCCCCATGAAAAGATTCATGCATGCCCGAAAGGATGTATGTTGTTTTGGAAAGATGATGCTCAATTATCTACATGTAGGGTGTGTGGCAGCGACCGATACAAGAAGACTTCTAAAGGTAGCTTAGTGCCTTTGAATGTTCTATTTTATTTCCCTATCAGACCTAGGTTGCAAAGGCTTTTTGCAACTAAAAACATTTCTGAGGAAATGACATGGCATGCTAAAAATCCTCGAGTTCAAGGCACAATGGCACACCCTAGCGATAGTGAAGCGTGGAAACACCTAGATAGTTGCTTTCCTGAGTTTGCCTCTGAACCTCGTAATGTTCGACTTGGCCTATGTACGGATGGATTTGCTCCACATGGTCAGTTTGGGGGACTGTATTCATGTTGTACGTGTTGACGAGGATGAGTCAATGGAGGAAGCGGAGGCACATGATTTGGGGGCCTCTCAAGAAATCGTCAGAAATGTACAAGGGCAACAGGAGCAACAACAGCTTCAGGAACAAGAGCTACAGGACCCGCATCCTAATGACTTGCTAGAGTTGGACCCTTCCACACTTTGGTGCATATGTCTTTGTATAATGAAATATCCTTAAATTCGTATTTACTTTGATAAAGTGAATTTGTATTACTTTAACCATGTTTTGTTCACTTTTTGTTGATTATCTACTTACATGAATGTCTATCCTTTATTATAGGTTTGATGATAGGCCGGTGAAGAATGTTCTCTCCGACTCGCTAATCGGCTACTATGTTCAGCCTTGGAGGAATTATGGAGAGGTTGATGAAGATTCGAGAGAGCACTTTTGGAACTTGTTCAACGTATGATAACTTTAACCTAACATAATACATGTTTTATAAATTATATTGATGGAGTTGAATTTTGTAATAAAGACATTTTCTTGATTTGCAGAAAAAATTCAAGTGGGCACCTGAGTTAAACAACCAAGTGAAGGACACTTTCGAAGAAAAGTTTGCAAATCGCCTACGTGACACGTTCTACAACATCACACACAGACTAAATGGTCGCAAACCAATATGGCTTAATAAGGATGTCCACGAAGGCATGATGAAAATTGTTGCCACCGATCCAAAATATCAGAAGCGGTCGGAACAAAACAAGAAGAACCGAAGAGGCGGATCCATGGAAAATGTCGTTGAACCGACCCACTTTCAAGGTTCAATGTCATCTGTACAACATGCTAAAAAGATGGTAAGGTTACTACAATATGTCCAGTAACAATTATGTCATTTATCTATTAATGAATTTTGGTGGGCTAACATGTTTTCATTGATTTTCTGCATGTACATATAAAGGTTGCAAAAAACCAAGGCCAATTACCAAATGCCCATGATCTATTCTTGAAGACACACTTCAAGGAAGTGCCTGGTAAAGGCCAAGTGGCTGCCAACAACAAAGCAAAAAGGATTGCGGTAAACACTTATTATATGAGTTGAAATATGGCAAATTAGCAAAGTAGAACTCAATATATGCTTATTTTGGATGAGTTAGGGTCGAACATTGACATATGTGCTTATTTCTCTTAATTTCTATCCTTAGGCACTTAAAAGAAATTGATATTGGAATGTTAGAAGAAAGAACGAGTCCATTTGTTTGAAAACTTAGAAAATAGGCATGGTTTTAGCCATATAGGCCAAATTTGGATGATTTTGGAGGAGTGAGGGTTGAAAATTGACATATGTGCTTATTTCTCTTAATTTCTATCCTTAGGCACTTAAAATCAATTGATATTGGAATGTTAGAAGAAAGAACGAGTCCATTTGCTTGAAAACTTAGAAAATAGGCATGGTTTTAGCCATATAGGCCAAATTTGGATGATTTTGGAGGAGTGAGGGTTGAAAATTGACAATTGTGCTTATTTCTCTTAATTTCTATCCTTAGGAACTTAAAAGAAATTGATATTGGAATGTTAGAAGAAAGAACGAGTCCATTTGCTTGAAAACTTAGAAAATAGGCATGGTTTTAGCCATATAGGCCAAATTTGGATGATTTTGGAGGAGTGAGGGTTGAAAATTGACATATGTGCTTATTTCTCTCAATTTCTATCCTTAGGCACTTAAAAGCAATTGATATTGGAATGTTAGAAGAAAGAACGAGTCCATTTTCTTGAAAACTTAGAAAATAGGCATGGTTTTAGCCATATAGGCCAAATTTAGATGATTTTGGAGGAGTGAGGGTTTGAAAATTGACATATGTGCTTATTTCTCTTAATCTCTATCCTTAGGCACTTAAAAGAAATTGATATTGGAATGTTAGAAGAAAGAAACCTTACATTTGCTTGAAAACTTAGAAAATAAGCATGGTTTTAGCCATATAGGCCAAATTTGGATGATTTTGGATGAGTGAGGGTTGAAAATTGACATATGTGCTTAATTTTCTTAATTTCTATCCTTAGGCACCTAAAAGTATGCGATATAACTCCATATTGTTGGTTGTTTTTTTAACAATATTTTATTTTATCTTCAATATTTTGTAGGACACCTACCAGAAGAAGCTCGAAGAAACAATGAGTCAGGGGATTCAGAAGAGTCTCAATGAGTTGTACTGGGAGTCGGTGGGTGGGCGCAATAAGAAGGGGCGTGTGAAGGGACTTGGCCAAAGTGCAGAGTTCTACTATGGCAAACAGGGTCGAGGTTCCCGTTCTTCACAGCAATACACGCCGTCTGTCATTTCTCAAATGCAAGACCAGATGGAACACAGGGTGCAAACTCTTCAAACTCAAATGGAAGCCCGAATGGATGAAATGGAGAGGAGATACAAGGAGAGTTTCGATGAGATGATGAGTCGTCTCAACAACAACGACTCATGTTCCACCATTCATCCTCAGCATCGAGACCCTAGGAACGACCCGGGTGGTGGTGGAGCAGGCCAGGGTTTCCAGGCGATTGCGTAGCTTAGCTTTAGTCTAGCATAGAATCACTCTAACCTAGCTTTTGTTTGGTATAGATACCAAAATGTGGACTATCTTTTGTACTAGGACATAATTATTATATATATATGTACATAACCCTAATTTCGTAGGTCGGTAATTAATTTTTTAAAAACAACAATTTTAGGACTCAATATTTATTTATTTTTTTGTCGATTTACCATTAAAAAAATTCAGGTTTGAAAATGCAGAAAAATACAAAAATTTGTTTTGGGCTGGAAATACAATTTGCGACGGAATATTTCGTCGTAATTTACATATTTGCGACGGAATATTTCGTCGTAATTTACATATTTGCGACGGAATTTTCCCTCGCAAATTATAATTTGCGACGGAATTTTCCCTTGCAAAATATGATTTATGACGGAATTATTCATCGTACAAATATACATTGCGACGGAAAATTCCGTCGTAAATTATAATTTGCGAGGGAAAATTCCGTCGCAAATCATATTTTGCAAGGGAAAATTCCGTCGCAAATTATAATTTGCGAGGGAAAATTCCGTCGCAAATATGTAAATTACGACGAAATATTTCGTCGCAAATTATATTTTGCGAGGGAACTCTTTCCATCGCAAATTTGCGACGGAACTTCATCAAAGGCCAATTCCAAGTCCGACGATATTATTTCCGTCGTAAATTCCGTCGTAAAGTTGGTTTACGACGGAATTTCCGTCGTAAAATGGCCATTTTCCTACAAAGGGTTTTCCGACAACCATTTACGACGGAATTCCGTCGTAAACCAACTTTACGACGGAATTTACATAGTTTACGACGAAATTTTTCCGTCGCAATTAAGGTGTTTTCTAGTAGTGAGAATTCACCTTATTATTATGCAACTCCATGAACTCTTTGAAGTCGATGAACCCATCTCCATCCTTATCAGCCACTTGGAACGCTTTGGCGGCCTCCACGTCTGAATTGACTGTGATTCCCTTGCCGTTGATGGCCCTTAACATGGCCTTGAATTCCTCCTTGGAGATCTTTCCATCTTTGTTGCTATCATACGTTTCGAAAACTCGTTTCATTTCTTGCATGTTAGCTTGATAGGTTTTGGACTTGTTGACGACGTTGGATTTTTGTGTAGCAAACTTAGAGTTGCTTATTTGGCTAGTTTTTCTTGTAAGAGAGGATTTTCTTGAGAGGTTGATACCATATGTATTGAGAAAAATCATTTTTGACATGGCTCTTTTTTTTTTTTTTTCTTGTTTCTGGATTATACGTGTGTATGTGACTACTAATTCGTGTAACGTGTATATTTTTATGTGATTATGGTTACCCGAGCCTAGTTCCCGGCTATATATATATACACAATTCTTGATAGTTACATAACATACATTGGTATGATTGTATGAACATATTGGATTTTGGGGCACTACGAGTAATGGATGCCAGCATAAACTAAAAGTTATGCTTATCTTTTAATTCTTTGTAAATATGGAATTTTAAGCTAAGGAAGCTTCTTGTTCAATCATTCTGCATTCAAATTAGAAAAGCACAGAATATTAGGTAGTTTCCTATTCAATCAATTTGCATTCAACTAAGAAAAGCTAAGGAAGAGAATATGAGCACTAAGTAGGTCAAAATTTTAAAAGCTATCCGTAAGAATACTTTCTAAAATAAGTGGTTTGGCGACAATACATAGTATTTACTAGTTGAACTAAACAATTGATGTTTAGCAAAATGATAACTTCAAACTCTAATAATGTAAGCATAACATATTTCACATATGACGAAACCTCTTCCGTGCAAGATCAATAATGCCATATAAATGGTGTTATAAGAATTAGTATGTTAATGATAACTAGATTGAAAAGAGGCATCAAATGAGTGAAATGTCGTAGCTAACTTATTGATAGAGAACCAATCAACATAGAATTCGATAATAAGAAAGTACAATTATATATAGTAAGTGCGAAGGATGATAGTGTACATTGGGGGAGTCTTGGATCCGAGATCGAATATAGTAGTAGTACGGAGTAATATGAAAGTTTACGCAGAATGTGAGGTGTGTAACTTTTCTGTGGGTTATCAAATTTCTGCCACTAAAATTAGAATCTAAAAAGGCAAAGCGCGTAATAAGTCGTAGATGCCTGAGAATGTTGACAAAACCAGTACACATTATATTTAGCTTAGCTTATTTAAAGCAAATAGATAACTTGTCCAAATAAATCAAGAACTCTTATTGAGTACATTTTAATGTAAAGTAACATATTATTGATTGATCGATCGGGTTTGTCTAATCAGGAATGCGTTCAGTACTCAACTAGCTCAAAATTATTTCACACTTCAACTAGCTTAAAATTTGGAAAGATTGGAAAATAACTAGTTACCCCCTTCAAAAAAAGAAGTAAATAAGTTAAAAGAAAAAAGTTTAGTTGTTAAACGGAGCTCATTAAAGTCAATATATTGCTCCTAACAATTCGAAAAAGTATACAATAAATTAGAGGCTAAAAAAGGCTTGACCCATCAACTTGCAATGTAAAGATAAGAACATTTTGCCAAGTTCTCATCGATTTCTCAACCAACTCAAATTATAAAATTTCCTTTAGTACTACAAATAATATTGGTGTGCATATGTCCATTATAAATATTTTTAATATGGAGAATAGTTGATCATCACTTAAAATTCTATGTGCAAAATTAAAGGGGTACGGTGGTACAAACTATAGAGCATAGAATCATAGATGAAACATAGACATTAATAAAAAGTTTTTTAAAGTATCTTGTATATTATGTAAAACAGAAATTAAGATATACATTTTGAAATGTTTAAATACCAACCTCACTAAGTTTGAGAAATTTGACATCACACAATACTTCAATACATACACTAGATGCACATGTTAATCCATCTATTCGATCATTATGTGTTTATTCTTTATGTTTCAATTAGGAAACCACGTTATATAACATAGTTTGAAATGATATATTGTCTTGTCTATTACAGGCTTGATAATTAACTACACAAGAGACTGCGTTAATAACCCTTAAAGAATTAGACAGCTAAAATTCAAAGTGTTTAGAAGATAGGAAACATGCCTTTTTTAAATCACAAAAATTTGTCCGTTTTATTATAGAACAAATAAAGGTTGGGTGAAGTACATCCATCACCTCATTTATGAGTAATACATATAAGCCTATAATAGTTGGTGAAATAATGATAATTATGCATCACATTGTTGCACTATTATATGATCACTTTTCCATTTTATCTTCTTTGCCTAGCAAGTAAGGAGAGTGTGCATAAACATAGAAAAACTTGACAATATAGAAAGATGGTATCTCCATTAATCAATATGTACATATATCTTTTTTGGTACCCCCTCCCAAAAATAATAAAACTCAAAGAATCCAAAAATGCCGAAACTAGGCACAAGGCCAAATTATCCAGCTCACAAAAACCTTTTTCTCTTTAACTACTACTAAATTATGTACCCCAAAAAAAAAAAAAAAAAAAAAAAAGGAAAACCAAAAATATTATTGGATAGTTTCATTTTTAATCATCAATGGCGCTTGAACATCTTCATCATTTTCTTTCTTCAAGAATTGTGATTCAAGATCATCATTTTCTTCTTTTTCGTTTGATTCTTCAAAATTGGAACCACCAGTGAGTTCTTTGGCCCGTTGGGCTTCACAGGCCCAATCAGTTCTTACCAACATGATCGCCATGAAAAGTGAGCAGGCTACCTGGGCTGCAAGCAGGCCTACCCAAAGGCCCAATAGGCCCATCTTCATGAAAAAGCTCAATGCAATAGCAACAGGAAGCCCAACTCCATAAAATGACCCTAAATTGATATTAGCTCCAAGCTTAGGCCTAGCACTACCCCGGAGCACCCCACACATGGTTGTTTGTGGGCAGTTTCCAAGCTCACACAACCCCAAGATCGGCATGGCGGCCGCGGTGAGAGCAATGACCGCCTCGTCGGACGTAAATGCCCTTCCCCAAAAGTTCCTCATTGTCACAGAAAAGGCCAAGGCAAGTACACTAGTAAAAATTGCACAACATAATGATATATTAGATGAGGTCCTTGCCTTATTTGGTTGGCCAGCACCAAGCTCGTTACCAACCCTAGTAGACACCGCGAGGCTAAGAGAAGACGGGAAAATGTAGATAAGCGACGTGGCTTGGATTAGTAGCCCCATGGTGGCAACAGCATCCGCGGCATTAGGCAGTAAACCGGACATAACAATCATGAGTTCGTACCACCACCATTCCAAACATACCGAAATACAATTTGGAATAGCTAAAGAAAGAATAGTAGACCAACCATAGAAACATTCAAAAGACCAACCTTGCCAAGTCTTCTTGTGGGTCCCACTAATCATGATATAAACCACCATGACTAATAGTATGTTGAGGTCCATGATTGCCGTGGAAATGGCCACCCCTCGAATTCCGAGGCCTAGGTAGCTAACCATGACATAGTTCACAGGAAAGTGAAATGACAAAGCTATTCCCGCGCTAACCACAAGAGGACGTGTCACCTTTTGTGAACGAAGATAGATTTTTATAGGGTTGATCAAAGCCATGAAGAACAAGTCAGGGAGGCAGTAAGCGAGGTAGGTGGCGGCGACAGAGCTGATAGCCGGGTCTTGACCGAGTAAGACGAGGATAGGCTTAAGATTGAGCCAAAGAAATGAGATTGGAAGGCAACAAAGGCATAAGATCACAATTGTACGTTGAAGAGTATGACCCATTAGAGTCCATTGTTTGGCACCGTAGGCTTGGGAGGAGATGGCGTCCATGCCCATGGCTAACCCGGAGAGGATCGAGTAGCCGGTGATGTTTGCAAAGCCGATAGCGAGCGCACCACCGGCTAAAGCCTCCTTGCCTAGATGCCCCATGAAGGCCATTGAAATGGCTGACTTGCCGTAGGTTAGTAGACTGCTTAACATTAATGGGAAGGCTATGTTGTAGAGTTGTCTCACCTCAATTACCACCTGTTTATACAATAATAATATAACAGTGAGATCATACAATTTTTGTAACAAATAATATACATATGTTTGCAACATTATGACATAGTACTAACCTCGGAGATTTTGAGCCGGGAAGATTGCGGCGAGTGGTGGTAGGGAAGAAGAGAAGCTTGAGAGGCGTTTTGCTTGTGGCTTTCCATAGGTTGGCTATGGTTAGGAGTGATAGTTTCCAGGGTGCCAAGTGCTTGCTTAAAGACGAACAAATACTAGTTTGAAATATGCACTAATATAAAATATATGTGTTGATGTTACGTTGGTGCCTTAAGGACTAGTAATAAAGAAAGCGAACTAGCTTCGGTTGATAAGAACGAGCTAATTCTTCCCTTAAAAAATTAGAGTTTCAAAATTATAACGTGATTGTTAATACGTTATGATGATGATAATAATAATAATAATAATAATAATAATAATAATAATAATAATAATAATAATAATAATAATAATGTATGTGATTCTGTTCTTACACCTTAATTAACAGAATTAGCCAATCAATCTTTCCTATCGCATCCTGAGAAAGATATATATATATAAAAAAAGTTGAATTCCCAGTATATATATTACGTATATTTTCTTATATATAAATATATATATATATATATATCTCGTGGTCTTTAGTTCCCCCCTCGCGCTCTCTTACACACACCGACCCTTGATACAAATATTTCCACCTTCTACTTAGGGATCTCTAGTTGATTTTGTGATAGAGATGAGTAGAGTGAAGTAGTATAAGAAGAGCTAGTTGTTATATGTCGTAGAGAGGAAAGGGGAAAAAAAGGACGAGTGAAGGGATACTTAAAAGAGGAGAGAAGTGGCAATTGCAAAATTGAGACACTACACACCCTACAATTTCTCATTTTCTTGTCACTATATATAGTGCTAGCTGGTGGACTAGTGGCTGCCTTTTCACAAGAAAGGGACAATTTTGAAAGGTCCTCCCCTAAAACATTTTTCTCCTGAAATTTTAATTATTTCAATTTAAACTTCTCAGTGTTTGAAATGCTCTTTGTAATTAATTGATTAATTAAATGAAATTATTAAGAGATTGGAAGAGTCTTTAATAGTTACATGGGGAGAGTGTTTACATGATATGATTTAAGTTTTTTGACCCAACCCATGTTTATTCTCAATCGAGTTCTAATTTATTGAACAACTTTTCTAATAGGGCGTGTTAAGGCTTATCTGGTTCCTTAATGTATGATCGATGAACAATTTTTTTAAACAACTAATTGCACAATACTAAGGACTTGATAATGAAATGAATTCGATGTTTGAAAATGATTAGGAATTTAGTTAATTATTACTCAATACTAAAGACTAATTAAAGATATATAGGCAGGCATTAGCTGGGTTGAAACTCATGTTAGAGTATTAGTTGGCAACGTGATATTTAGGTGCAATAGTTATTTTACTGTCAAATTTGATGATCAAGTTGAGTAGCAGAAATTAGTGTTGCAAATCGATCAAGTTGAGTAGCTAATTTTGGACAATGTATTGTAGGTTTCTACTCGATTCTCCATGTTAAATAATTAGTCCACTCAAATTTGTTAGTGTTATGTATTGCACAAAATTATATGGCTAGTCGTTTTCATTTCACTGAAAGTGAGATGTAACTATTACAGTATGGACTAAAGGGTAATGTTCTAATCGCGTTCCTGCATATCATCAAGGGAGTCGAAACTGTGTACATCAATGTAGGATGTAACACTAACACATAGCGATTGAAGAGATAACGAAAGGAGTTATATAGTTTAGGTGACAACGAGCTGAGGCGTAAAATGGCAGGTTTCAGAAACATTAGCATGTCTCCATGGTTACATTGATTGTGGAAGGATTATATTTGTTTTATCTCCTCTTCTAATTTTCTCTTGTTTCCATAATGTTTTACATGTTCCCTAAATTTCGATATCTTATACTCCATTCGTACAAAAATGTACCATTCACGACGAAATCTTGTTGGTGTTACAAAAGCAATCGCATTTGTTTGTTGTGCTAGTTTTTGGCAAGTTTAAGTGTCTGAGGTTATGCCAAACTCAGCTATCCATTTCCATTACATACAGTAATTTCACAACCACTGTCTATACATACAGCTCACATCAAACAACTTTAATTGGAAATTTGGAGCTATTTGTTGAAATACTCAAAGTTATGGACAACCATTAACTTCATAATAAGCAAGCAATAATGTAAAAGAAAGTTTGCCGAATTAAAATAAATTTAGCTAATTTTGGTTTTGCTTCTATAATCAGTAAAATGAGTAATAGGCCAACTAACATAGAGAAAATTGTCTTCTTATTATTTCTTAGGTTCTTTTAGTGTAATCGTCTAATAGAGCAACATATGTTTGTGAACTAGTCTACATAGAACTAATAATACAATAGATTTATGATTAATTGATTTGGTCTTAATCTTTTATAAATCAGGGCCCTAAAGGCTAAAAACCGAATACTAAGAGCAATTGCGGTCTATCCAACCATATGGAGCGTCGAAGATTGGAGTTTTATTGTCTCCTAATAAGTTCTAAAACTTAGCAGGCTTCTCATTCATTCGTGCAAAATAGTTGTGCCACTAGGCAAGACAACTCCCTATTATTAGTGTAAATTAATGCAAATTAATGCCTACGCATAATTTCTACGCAAATCGTGTAAGACGAACTTGAAGAACGTATCTACTAAAAAATTTCCTAAGTTGGTGAACTTAACTTATAATTCATACATACATGTCATTTACAGATAAAGGTTTCGACGTATCGTGTATTTACCAACACATAATTCCTCAGACTCATCAAGACTTGTGTCTCGTGAAAAAATAATAACTCTCTTCATGCCCCTTTTTCTATATTGAATTTGAGAGCAAGGGTACTATAATTGCAAGGAACATGCATGAAGAAGCATTCCATCGTTGTCAAAATATAGTAGTTTGATCATACTTCCTAAGTTATTCGATTGACGTAATTTAAAGTAATATAATAAACACAAATTGGTAGTATTATTCCATTTCCACTAACCATTCTGACGTGTGGGACTTGATCGAGTTACAATCAACATGTGCCTGATTATCCGAAATATAAATTCTGCTAATGTAAACTGCCTCTTGTATTTATGTATTCTTCTTACTTTGACTTTGTAATTTCTCACACATCAATAAAATTAAATAGTGACGAAGGCTTTGTTTGGTTCAATATTAGTAAAGGAAGAAAAGGGAAAGGAAAAGAAGGGAAATGAAAGGAAGAGAAGGGAAAGTTAAGAAATTATATCATCTTATGTTTGGTTTGATATTAGTAAAGGAAGGGAAAAAAGAGAAACCTATTGTTTGGTATGACATTAGTAAAGGAAGGAAAGGGAAAGGAAACTTAATTTTAAGCTTGATAGATTTAATTTCTTTCTTTCCTCTCAAAATTTGAGAAGAAAAGGGAAGATTTTGTGAAGGAAGCTTTATTTCTTTCCATTTTCCTTCATTTCCTATCAAATTTCGTTTAATTTTTAGAACCAAACATAGGAAGCTATAATTTTTCTTTCCTTTCCTTTCCTTTCTTTTCTTTTCCTCCCAACCAAAAAAGGCCAAAGAGAGTACTATAATACTCCATATTTGATACTCAAGCCCTAGTAAAAACCTACCCGTACAACCCTATTCAAAAATTAATCCCTAGAAAACCAAAGTACAGATGGAAGCAACCGCCACCGATCCATGCCGTGATCCTAGCTCTGTCCGTCACATATTAAGTTAGCTCTATTTAGGGTGCCAAGACTGCCAACCCATCCAACCACACCCCCCCCCCCCCCCCACCGTGATCCTAGCTCTGTCTGTCACATATTAGTTAGCTCTATTTAGGGTGCCAAGACTGCCAACCCCCCCCCCCCCCTCTTCTCTCTCTCAAAAATAAAAACTATGCGTCCTGATAAGTGGGCACATTAACTTAGGACAGAGAACAATTTGTTAAACCTGGAGAAAAGAACAAGCTAAACACATAACTTTTTTTTTTTTTTAAGAACACATACTCCATACTTGGTATTAGATTAGTACACTAATCATTTTTCTAAAATTATTAATAGTTTATGATTAATCAGGATCATTAATAACGTGGCGGTTTTCATCTAGGTACGTGTATTACCAGGTCTAGCAGCCCATAAGAAAGATTGATGTGTACGTACAAAATTCCCTTTCGCTACGTGCATGCCAGGAGAATTATCTGATTGCTAAGTCAGTACTACACGGTTGCATATTTGAACTTTCAAAGCCTTAAAAAACAACTTATCAACTACACTTCATTAATTATAAAACCTTAAGAAACAAAATTAAATTAGATTATAGCTAAATCAATGATAAACTATTACGGAGTATTAAAGATAAATTGTCAGAACCACCAATAAGGAGACATTTCATGCCAAGATTATTAACGACGTGCATTACAGCATGCACAATTGCACATATACAAGTCAGCGTATATATATTATTATTATAATAAGGGTGGATTAGTCTAGTTATAACAAACACGTAAACATTACTATTTGACTTTTTTCATTTATATTATTTACTTGTAATACGAAGTATTTTTTTTCATCAACAATTTATTAATGTTTATTCGTTTAAATGTACAGTGTGCTGGGTGTGACAGCTTGCATGATGCTAAGTGAACAATTTATCCACAAATTATACAATGGTGATTCAACAAATAAATAAACCACAACCTTTGATGCCAATTAATTTATTTGGTTTGAATCAAATTCCGTCCATATCATCTACCCTTGTGGCTCTTTCTCACAAATAATTCAGGCCGTAATCATATATCCCCCCCAGAATTTAACATTTTACCACTACATACTGCAAAGAAACCTGGTCCAACTCTTTGGTATTAGTGGTATTACTATTAACATACGTTAAGAGGCATATTAGACAGCAGAATTAGTTCAACTACTGTCGTTTATTTTTGTCCAACATACCTGTATTGCCGTACTGTAGTTTAGTTATCAAAAACTTACTATTTTAGTATTATTAGGTACAAAAAATACAATTGAATTTTGAAGCTTTCCACAATGTTGATGTTAAACTAGAACCCATCTCCTTATTTCTATTAACAATCAGGCATTTAAGTATTCAAATCAATATATCATACATTCATAAATCATACTAGAAAGTCGTTACTTCTAAAAATTGCCTAGTGCAAAAGATAATCGTATGCATAAGTTAAAAGAAAAGTTATGCGTTTAAAGAAGTAGAGGTAGACTAAACATATACAGCTTTTTCATCGTAGCCTAGAAATAGATCTATCTGCCTCCTCAATCCATACAGTAATAAGCAAAGTAATGTCCACTCAATTACAGGATAAAAACATTGGAACCTAGTTCTTACTTCTTAGGTGGAATGCCAATAAGTTTAGATAAATTACAAAAAGTAATGATCATATCAAGTGATTACGGAGTGCTATAGTATTAGCTACTGTACATGCCTACATCCGAATAATAATGAAGCTCCCACGTTAACTAAAATGACTGAAGTTTAAGTAGAAAATATAGGTGGTTCACACTATAAATTTGTTAGGATACAAAAATATAGTGTGAACTGTGAAGCCCTGTGAACCACCTATATTTTCTACTTAAACAAATCAACCCCATAATTAATCCGTTCAAAAACATAAGCTTTGAAGTCCAAGACAAGAGATAAAATATAAAGGGAAAATTTGTCAAAATTATAAAAACATGAATGAGGAAACTTATAAGCTACTGTAAAAAATCCTTTCACTTTCAGACTTCAGTACATCGGAGAAAAAAAAAATTATTTTTTTTCACTTTGGTAAAAAAAAAATTATTTCTTAATGTGCACAAAAAAAGACATAGAAATCTTATCAAATGGCATCCAAAAATAGCAAATATACTAGGAGTCTAGGATACTGTCAGCATGCATGCTAAAGTGATGAACAAAACATCAATCGTGGATAGCCAACAAAACATAAATATTCAGAAAATATCGTCACCCATGACATCGATCTGATACTTATTTAATTGTGGATTCTCAACAATTATCTGGAGCAGTTCTTTTTCTGAAGGTTCCTGAATCCTGCTAGATTACAGGAAACTAGACATGAGTCTGACCAGCCGCCATATTGCATATTCTACTCTTCTAAACGTGTTTCTAGATAATGCAACTATACTACTCCGTAACACATACTAAATACTTTATCCTAAAGCTCTTCCCCCACCCCCCCCCCTCTCTCCCCCTCTCCTTTCTATTTTCTTCTGTGTCTCTTTCTTTCTCTCTCTCCTCAAATGAGTGTGTGCTACACGTTGGATTAGGGAGATATATCTAGCATGTTTACTCAAAAACTTATTAAATTAGCTGCTGACCTGTTTGGCTGAACAATTATAATAGCATCACGAAAGAGCTTAGTCAAATCAGACATTCAAGTATATGCACAGTTACAGCTGAAACAACAGCTATTTTGCCCCTATACATGCAAATTTGATCTGCTCCTTGCTTTCTGCTAGGGATCACAAAATCCACCTGCAAAAGAAATTATAATTAGTTCAGTAAGCTTAAAAGAAAACTCATCTCACTTTAAGGGGCAAACCAGACAATCTGTCAATCATCAAATTAACATATACACAGGCAAAATGTATATAAGGAAACCAGTCACATGTTACCCCTACCAATTAGGTACACAAAAATGCAAACATTACTAGCACAATAAAAATTATATAAACAATATCTTAATTCATACCCCATTTGTTTCTAAACATTCGATGTTTTTTTTGTTTTTCGAGATCTAACTAACTTTGACTTCAATTTTTCTATCATATTACATCAACAAAAATTGTATATATATTATACTACAATCAAATTAAATTGCAAATGCAGCTTTCAAAATCTTTTCATAAAGAAAAGACAAATATTTAAGCATGCAAAGTCCATTGCCACAAAGTCCATAATAGCATACACTATCTCAAATTCTCAACCAAACATATAAGCACTCCCAGTAATACACCATCCTCCATACCAACCCAAGCCTCTAAAAGGATATAATTTGAATTGTCACCAATTAGCTTAAATTTGCAACTTAACTATTATACACCTTCCAATTTACAAACTAACTATTAGAAAAAATTTGAATCAAAACTAACAAGAGAAATGTAAATTTCAAGTTCACACAATGAATACATTTTAGTATTGATAATACAAAAAAGTAAAAAACATCAGTTGATAGAGCATGATTGATAATACAGAAAACACACCTGAGGGTAGGAAAAAAAAAAAAAAAAACCCTAATTTTTAAATGTCTTCTTGCTGACTATTTAGTTACATCAAATACCCTGTCAAGAAAGAGAAAGACAGCAAGATTCGTTCTACTAGAGAACGTTGCTTGCATGGACAAATATCATCTCCTTCAAATTAGATAAGTACAAAGTATACAAAGTAGACCAATTGAAACTCGCCCCCTTTTCTAATAAACACAAATATTATATTTGTTGTCGGAATCAAAAAGTTAATAACAATAAAAATAATTATTCCTGTTGTGGATGTGTCTAGGTTGATCCTAGCAGCACGCTCTCATCCAAAAACATAATGTACAGATTGATAAATAAAAATAATAGAAGCTTCACTATAGTATTATCCCCATAAATTATTAGTTTGCCTGGTAGTATATTTTAAACTTCGTCAAATACTTAATATTCAGGAGCACTCATTTAATATTTATGTTTTATTCTAAGTCAGCCTAATTATATAAACGTACAATGAAACATGTAGATTCGGCATTTTTAATTCCTAGGATGGAATAAATCACAACGGCATTACAAGCATTGAGTATAAAATACAGGCACAAATGTCAACGAAGCCAATTTGTCGAAGGCTCAAAGCTTAACGGAGTCAAATGCTCCTATCTTCTTTTCTTTTTATTTTTCCCCTATCCTTTGGCTAGGTAAAAGTCAAAGGTTGCAAATATGTGATCCACGATAGCAGAGGGATAGACTTAGTAACATAATTAAAGGTAAAATTGTATGTGTGCTCCACTGAGCTAAAAATATAAGAGATGTTTACGCCAACTCACTACAAAACATAAATAGCATGCACGTCCGCTTAAGCAGTTACTTCAAGCTACTATATAGCTGTAGAACTATATGCTAGCAGCCTAATAAGAACCTAGAAAGACTATGGGCTAGGTCATATATTGATTTTATACTCAATATCCTTGCACTATGATTAGGAAAATGGTACCACTCAGCAGAAGACATGCTCCAAATTTAAACACAAAGGAGTGCTTTCAGCCTTTTCATGTTTTCAAACCTTAAACAACTTTTACGGTAACAGATTTACATGTTCATGACAAAGCACTACTGCCACATCATAAATAGCATCAGCAATTCAGCATTACTAATACAGTAATCCCTTTCTTGTTAGCATGTTGAGTGACCAAACCTATTCCACAACAAATGTAATACTCCCTCCGTCCCATATTATAATTCCTGTTTTCCTATTTTGGAGACCCAAAATGTTGTTCCTGTTTTTATTTTTGGATAGTATGTAAAGACCATTATACCCTCATTTTTTTTAACTTTATTCATTGTACTTCCTGAATTACCCTTGAATTTTCCACTTGCCTTATACTTTTTTTCCACTTTCTCTCTCTAACTTTGGTCTATAATTGTACTTTTCACCTTTTTTATGTGCTTTATTCACTTTCTCCTCTCTACCCTTTGTCTATAATTGTACTTTTCACCTTTTTTATGTACTTCATCCACTTTCTCCTCTCATTTCTTAAATACCATAAACACAAATAGAAACTATATATTGGGACGGAGGGAGTACATAATCTTTAGCTACCTAAATCGGAGGTTGGAGTTAATTCAAATCATTTTGTTAACATGAGCCATAACCCTTCACACTAATCCAACCCATTTTACTATAGTAACTCTTGGTCAAAAAAAAAACATAAACCTATAGTAACTCACTTTAACAGGTCAGAATCTAATATGTCGAAATAGTTTAATATTATGCCAACTTATTGACTAGTTAATTCATCAAAATTTACAAAAGTTACATCAGGTTTTGCCAAATATGGAACATACAAATATGCCATAAACATGTTTGGGCCCTATATAGTTTACCTTAATTCTCCCTCTTTTTTTTTTATAAGTTATAAATATTCAATGTCATTTATCCCAAAATTGCTTCAAAGTTATCTCTATGATTCGAGTATAAATCAAAATAAAAATAGAGAAAATTCTATTAGCACCCTCAAATATTTTAACAATTGATTTGTTACAAATTTCAGCAAGACAAATTGAAATTCTAATTGAGTACTAGTATAGTAGCATACTAGCGTTTGCTAGTATAACTATTTTTACCCTCGTTAAAAGAGAAAAGGCGAACATAAATTTCTTTTATATTGTTTATGTCAACAAAATTGTGTACAAAGTATATAACTTTTAGAAATTTCTATATATATATTATATATTGTGTATATAAAGATATTTTATATTGTATTGGAAATTTAGGAATATGTACAAAACATCATACGGGACTATCATCAAGAAACAGAGGGACTGAGGGAGTGTATTTTGTGTGTGACGGATATGTTTCAAAGTTCCAATATGATATAACCTTATCTTATTTTATTTTATCTAATTTGAATAAGCAATAAGTTCTTGCAAATTTGCAATAAGGTGGGCTAAACAAGGCCTAACTGAACACTAACATTATACGGAGTATTGAATTATAAATGTCAATCACGTAGACATGTTTAAGTGTTTAACTAAATGGATTCAAAAACTTCAACACCAATCCCCTTATTCATGTCAGATAGTTGCCGTATTGCCACGTAAAATGAGGTTGGGCAGAAATCATTTTCCAGAAAAATCAATTCACCCAACTTCCCTTGTTTGGTCAGTGAAGGGGTATAAATATTTTCTCAAGTTAAATTGTTTTCGAGATGGCAGACACAACCATATATTTATTTAATAAAGCACGAGTCAGGTCAACATGCTCATCAACATGGAGGACTGATATAGCCACTATTCAGTCAGTAAAGAGGCTTATGTTACAGGAGATCTTATTAACGGAGCAAACTCAGAATTGCTGAACTCGTACCCCAAGTAGGATGTGCAGAAATTTAGACATAATTTGGCCATAGTTGAGTGCAGATGAATAAGCTTCAAGTGAGTTAAGAACCATAAACCTTTAGACTACAAGAATTTTTAAATTTTTCTCCTTAACATGAGGTAATTAAGCAGAATAAAAATCCCCAGAAATACGAAAATATTTTTTTCCCTTAATAGTATTCCCTTGCCTTTTCACCCAAAACTCCCACTAAATCATCAGTCATTTGTAGTCTATCACTCCATATTGGGATGTCCTAGGAATTCTACTTGCCTAAAACAATAACAAGAAGAAGAAAAACAACTTTGGGGACTGCACACAAACAGCTAAACATTGTATAATCCAGCCTTAAAGAATCTTCAATCATTAGTTGTAAATGGAACCTATTGAATCCACCTACATTCACTTGATTTAGCTGATTTGCCACATTAGAGACATTCTGCATTATTTATTTAATTTAATGTAATAACTTAATCCTACCCTTAAATCCTGAAGTTCGTCGATTTTAAATCAACTCCTAACATGTATATTGCTAAAGCACACAACTGATTATCCTGGATGGAAGATCCAGTAGTATTAGGTAAGAAGATAAATCTCATTAAAAAAATTTAAATTGAAAAAAAAATGAACCCAAAGTCCACCAAAATTTAAGAAGGGGGGAAAAACTCCAATCTCACAATACATTAAAAAGGGGCAAGCTGGGAACCACCCCATGAGCCTAAAGTGACACTAAATGCACCTCTCAATTCAATAAAGATGCCAAAGAAAGATGAGTCTAATCACTACAGTCCTCACTGAACTCCCATAATAGCAAAGAAAGCAACCTACCACGGTTTTTTTCCCTTGAGCCTTCCAAAATTCATATGTAAATAACCCAGAATAGTAAATAGGACAGCTCAATGAACATTAAACACTAAAACAAGCTGAACAGTCTCTGCTACCAAAAAATCGCCACATGACAATTCCAAAAACAAATGTTTTGTCTCCTTACTAGCAAGAAAAACCGTGCACACATTAGGAGATTAAAGACTCTTTGAATCTCTGAACTAGCAAAATATCACAGCATTCACAAATACTAAATTCTCCAGATTTATGACCCAAGCAAAAGCGTTCCCCTTTTGGTGAAGATTATGAATTTGGAGCATTTTGCATCTTGTAAGTAGCTATGGATGAACAAATAAATGACCCCAAGGAATCAGCCAACCACACCCTTAAACATACTCCATATAATTTAGGAACAAAAGCTGAATACCATTTTGAAGAATGTACTAAGAACTAGTAGCTTTTTCATATACTTAAGCAGCAGCCTAACCTGACTAGAAGAATGTACTAAGAACTAGCAGCCTAAACATACTCCATATAATTTAGGAACAAAAGCTGACTTATTGTCACAATATCTCAGATACCTGAGCAGGAAAAATTGAAAAATTATAGCATCCATAAGAAAAAGATTGAGATAAAAGTGAATTAAAAACCCATAACAGAATCAGTAAATCTTATGAAAATTAATACAGCATTAGGAAAATAATCATCATCCAATTTTTACATCACACTGATTTGCGTTTTTCTCTATAGAAAGAGGGGAAAATGAACTAACCTGTATGGGCATCTCAGCAATGATAAGATTACTGGCTTCTTCAATGCTCTTAAGAGTCACTACTTCACCCCCGACAACCATGTTAATCACAATCCCATCTGCAGCCACTTACACAGTACATAAAGCATGGTGTTTAATAACAATATAACATGATAATCACGTAAAAGTAAGTATAAAGCACCTGAAGCTAAACAAGCTGTCATCCGCCTCATATATATTTCCTGCAATCAAGAATTAAGCCAGCATAATTATTCGCCAAAATAATGAAAATAAGGCAGGCATATATACTCCCCAATTACTGTTAAGGCAGTTTTTTTTTCACAAGATCAAAACATAATAAATACACAGGCTAACAAGAATACTAGAGCCATAACTCAATATACACTTCTATTTCAGAGAAAAACAGATGCAGATTATAGAAAAGATGATGTGATAATGGGGCCAGCGAAATCCATGTATAAGTTCATTAACTGCCAAGGGAGTTGGTTACAGGGGATTAGGGCATAAAGAACCTAAGCTATGACCATTCAACAAGTGAAATAAGTTAAACAGTATTAAAATACTAAGCAAAAGAAATTAAAGAATGTTATTCACTAATGTATAAATGTCACTAATACTCAAGATATAATCACACTAGGGATAAAAACGCTTTTTCAAGCTTAAAGCATAAGCACAAAACAATGCAGACTGCATCAAATTTCAAAAAAGCAACATATCACCTTTTTTGCTGGCAACTCATAATTTATGAGAATACGAGCAGGAAGAGGATATTCACTAGAAACAATAGGAAGACAAGCATCAGTCACAACTACCATATGAGACTTGAGCCCTTCTTCCTCATCTTCACCCCCAACAGCACTTTGGTTCCACTTGACGACTGCATGACGGAAATTCTCAAGTATTTGTGCACGATCTGATTCAGCAAGATCACTATACTGCCAATAGTTATAAACTAAAATCCATAAGTGGTTGCACTGAAAATCTGAAATCTTCTCCACATGCCCCCAAAAAAATGCTATGAAACTGAATAGAAAAATGCCAATAATATAGTGACAAGTGTCTAAGCTAAATGAGATGCCTCTTCAATCCTCACGACTAGTGGCACAGTTTTTAAAACTGAGATGCAGAGTTACAATAGATAACCGTCATAGGGCAAATGTATTACTAACTTGGTGAAAATGCACGAGGCTCTTAAAAGGTTACACCTTTGTTCATGACAAGGTGGAGTAATGTATGATTTGTAATTCCAGAACGAATGAGGAATGTCTAATGATCCCTGGAATGATAAGCTTTGTTCTACCCTTCTAACTTGGTCTTCCTAACTTTTAGTCCGCCAGCTCTTGGTGAAATTGGCAGAGTAATACAACAACAACAACAACAACTAAGCCTTAGTCCCAAATGATTTGGGGTCGCCTAACATGAATCTTCATAAGGAACCGTACAATATATAAAAAAAGGGACGTAACAAGATAATTATTTGAAAGAGTTTGAAAAAAGATTAATAAAGTGAGAAAACGAAAAAAGCATTCAAGAAAAATTAAGGAAGTTTTAAAAGAGAACTAAGAATAAAATTCAAGAAAGTTTTAAATGAGTGGTTAAAGCGTTAGAGTAAAAACCATAAAGGTTTGAGAAAACTTTAGCAAAGGAAAACAATACAGTTCATACAACATTAATGGGATAAAATAATAAAATTAAATACGAAGAAAATTTAGAAAGCATATATATAATCACGACACAAACTTTACTTGGTAGTAGGTACACTAGGGGTTAGATTTACAGAGCAATTGGAAATATAAGACGGGAATTCATATGGCCAAGGCCACAAAATGCCACAAGAATGCTATAAAAAACATGTGACGGATTCCCCAATCCTTGATTGATACATGGCAAATTGGCAATCCCAATTAGCCACATTTGAAAGGAGATAACAAATCAAAAAATTAAATAAAAAAAAAAATTAAGGCATACCTCAGCACAGCACATAGTTCCCTTTCCTAGGAAGATTGGCCCAACAATGCAGCCCACAAATCCACAATACATAAGAAAGCAGAAATGTATGAGGGAACTTGTCCAATCTATACTAAAGCATTTTAAAACATTTCTAAGCAAGTTCATATGCAGCCCAACAATCCACCCACAGATCCACAATACATAAGAAAGCAGAAATATATGAGGAAACTTGTCCAGTCTATACTAAAACATTTAAAAACATTTCTAAGCAAGTTCATATGCTATATGGAAGCATGGCACTCACCTAAATTCAGTGAGTTTCACAAATTAGAAACATAATTTGTACAATACTTGAACCCATGACCTCAAATTCTCAACAATAAATACATTTCCAATAAGGTATGCCATTTGTCTTTCTTTGAGTTTCTTTCAAAACTAAACATAATGAGCAAGCAAGTGAGCGAGAGGGAGAGAGATAAGTGATACACTAGAGAAGCCAGTAAAGTGACAGCTACGAGCCTTCAAATGTTTTGTTACAAGGTCAGGTTCGCAGAAGCTTAAAACCTGCCATCTAGGAATTGCAAAAGTGGTCCTAAGGCTAACTAAGTTGATAAATTGACACCAGAAGCACGAGATGAGGAGCAGCAACTGTCGCATATCTAAATTGAGAAGCTTCTTCTTATACTATTTACTACAAGTGCGCATTATTAAGAAATTCATTTTGCTCAGCAAGTCGCTATTGGCTGGAAATCTGGAATGCCATGAGCTGACATGTAGTTACCGGTAATTAAAAATGATTGTACAACATCAACATTGCCACTAAATAGCTTATCATTCCAAGGATCATTAGGCATTCTTCATACATTCCAGAATCACAAATTATATATCACCCTTTGATTTTTCAGAGGGAAAAAACAGTACCTTACCAAAATATCATTTGTGATAGTCATGTCATCCCCACCTCTCCCCATCACCAAAATTAAGTGGAATAAATGAAGAAAACAAGGTGTCATCTACATGCAACTACAATTTTTTAACAGGGAAAGTACTGCTAATTTTCCTACTAATGATCATCCTATCCAGCGCGAAGGAAACAAACCCCCTTTCTGCCCCCCCCCCAGCCTACCTACTCATGCTCTAAGCTCGACCAAAGGTCAAGAATGTGGTCTAGCGGAATACAAAAGTCATCTGTATCAAGTGATACAGCAATTGCTAAGTAGTCCTTCGCCACTACCATAGCTGGCTGAAATAGCTTAAAGGAAGGGTTCAAGTCCCTCTTCAACTCCTAGCTTCGCTGATTACTGCTTAGTGGTAAGGAATGGAGTAGGCCGTAGGCGGCGAGTAAAGTGCATAAGCTTTAGAGTTAAAGAGAGGCAATGTGATTAAAGTGGAATTTAATAGGACATGCCATCGCATAAAAATCCAGCAATCAAAACCTAATCCTAAATTTTATCATAATTGTATAAAAAATAATCTTGATATCAATAAAAAGAAACATAATCAAGTTAAATAAGAAAATTCTAGAAAGTTAAATTATAAACAAAATACGAGTAGAAAGGATTTGAAGTGGTACCAGTGAGGAGAGAGAAATGTAAGGAAGGGATGAGACAGTTGAACAAACAGCATCAAGCTCGTCACGAGAACTACAACACACAACAATAGGAAGCCCAGATCTTCTTCCTACTACTCCAAGCAAATCAACCAATGTCTCCTGCATATTACGAGTATAAATCAACCTCAAATTCCAGAATTTAAGAGATTAAGAACAAAAATATCAAAATTAGGGTAGAGAAAGCGACCATTTTGAAAGGGAGGCGATCGACGGCGAGGTAGAAGTGGCGAGATTGCCTGCAAGGAGAGTTGCGGGTTTCCTTTAGAGTAGAAGCGAAAATAAATTGGAAAATTTTGAGAGGATGGTGAATTTACGTACCCGATTGAGTGTGACGGCGGTTGCGACGGTGACGAAGGGGTTTCTCCGATGTCAGTCGCCATTTGCGAACTTTGGTTGCTGGGAAACCGGAATAACGGCCTTTATCTATCTACTTGTACTCCGTATCTTCTAAAATGTTTTTAGTCTTCAAGTTCAATTATGGAATGAATAGAGACCTCTATCTTATTTTTGTAGAACTAAAATTATTTTTACTCGTACTAGATTGAAATTATTTTTACTCGTACTAAATTGAAATTATTTTTACTTAACTAAAATTTATTTTTTACTGAACTGAAATTTATTTTTGCTAAAGTGAAAATATTTTTACTAATTTTCTATTATAATTATTCTTTAAAATTACTGATTTTTACTAAATTGAAATTATTTTTACTGAACCAAACTTATTTTTACTGAACTGAAATTATTTTTACCGAATATTATTATTTTAAGGTGAAGTGAACAAGGCCTGATTAGTTAAAACTTACAAGATCGATTTGCAAAAATTTATACTCCATAGAAAACTTACAAGACCAGATTATTGAGTGGGTCCGTGGGGGTCAATACGCAAAAAGTCAATAGTGGGCAAGCTTACAGTGGATTTCTTAGCATGTTAGTTTTTAAAGTAATTCAAGACAAGAATTACTAATAAATGTGGGAACAAAACCTAAAATGAAGTATAATTCAACTAGATTATACAACAATCAATATTATTCAAAATATTACAACCAAACACCAAATTATCAAAGTATTACAGAAAATACTAAGAAAATCACTAATGTGAAAGATATTACACTTGCCTCAACTCCAAGCCTTTAAGAACGAACATGAACATGAGAAATACAATGACCACTTGAGTCTCGATCCTTGATTCACTGTCTTAGGCGTGTGAACACTTTCCTAAAGAGTTTAATTTACCCCACAACGGTGCTTGGGTTTAATCCGGAAATACTATTTGAGATACAAAAGACAGCCAATCGTTCTTTGCACTAAGAATCAAATTAAAGATGACTAATTCACAAAATTGGATTAATTGAAAGAGTTTTCTCACAAAAGTTTGCAAGAAATTTGAGAGAAAAGTGTAGAGAATACTGCTTGGGGAGAAGAAGAAAAATCAGTGTCCCTTTTCTTCACGAAATAAGCCTTTTAATAAAAGACTCAACCGTCAGAAAAAACCGCAAAATAGGGAGGCGCGGGCGCGCCATCAGGTGGAGCGGGCGCTCCTTATCAGAAATGCGAAATTTCGACAGGAAGGCAGAAGGGGGTGCGGTTTAGGCGCGACCTAACGTGCGGGCGCGCCAACCTTACCCTTCCAAAGTTCCAAATTCTAGAGAGGTACGCGGTTTAGGCGCGCTCTCTGCGCGACCGTGCTTAACTTGCGCGGGCGCTCTTTCATGGTCGCGATCGCGCAACCATCAACACTCTAAGTATTCAACATAGCAAAGGGTTACTCCGTAAAATTTAAGGCTCCATTTGTTTTAACGGAAAATAACATTTTAGAAAAATGATTCTCCATGATAAATAAGTTTCAAGGGAAAACACAATTGTATAAATAGTTTTTCTTTGTTTCCTAACAAAATAAATTACTCCCTCCGTCCCTTTATTTTTGCACCATTGACATTTTTGGGGTCAAACTTTGATAATAAATTACCGTTAATCTGTAAAAGATAATTTAGTCATGAGTGATCTTGTTAGATTCGTCTCATTGTATATTTTATTAATATCACATTTTTATAATTTTTACATGTATGGAAATAAAGATATAGACGTTTTAATACGCATCTTGAAATCGTGCACGGTCAAATGAGACAAAAAAAATAAGAACAGATGGAGTATATAGGAAGGGGGGTTATGAGTGGAAGGAAGAGATGGATGAAAAGAGATGTAAGGTATTAAGGAGTAGGAAGTAAAATGTAGCATATCTTCGTTTTAGAAGGAAACTATTTTCTACTCTTAGGAAAACTATTTTCACCTATGAGAAAATTATTTTCATCCTTTTACCAACCAAGCATTGGAAAATGAGAAAATTATTTTATATGATAATTTCTTTAAAGCAAATGGAGCCTAAGTCCTTGATCTTTTGAGTTCTTATAAGTCCTAGATTCATCTTATATGAATTAACACGTTTTCTATGCGTCTGGTCACACCGTGTGGCCACTTGTAGAAAGATTTAGTAACCCCTATAACACATACATAGTAACCTCTTATTATATTTATTGTGATAACAAAGTAACCTTTACAACACTGACAAAATAACCCTTGTATTTCTAACTAACCATATAACCCTAATAGAGTAACCCATATGACACTAACCAAGTAATCTCGTGTGACTAGCCACATATAAAAGTTAGTGTATATGAATTCATTACTTCGTTTTATCAATTGTTGTCCTTTATGTAAGGTGTATTAAATCTTATTGGCTTTTTACATAAAGTGTTATTAGATTTTATTGGAACTTATATCAACCCTTTTTCTATTATCTTAATTTATTGAACCTATATGAACTACAAAGTATTATCTTATCCGAATTTATCAACTCTTTTATTTTATTATATAAACTTTCATGAAATAAGTGAACATCTATAAGATGAGAAGAGTAGAGCCTTATATTGTTCATAGTATAAACTCTCATATAATCCACTTTTTTTACAAAGACAGGAGCGTGATTTATTCAAAGTGAAGATTATACGACATTAATCAGTTATCGCAAAAAATTATTGCAATATTTTATCATCAAGCTGCATGACTATTGCAATTTTGAAGCCTTCCTTTTTTTTTTTTCCTAATTACATTTTACATCAAATATTGCACAATTTACTAGTTGACTTTAACATATTGTAGCACACTTGGTCATGCAATACCCATGGAAGGAAGTATAAATTAAAAGCGATTTGGATCTATTTTGAACCAAAACAACTTTAAGTGATACTTGTAACTCTATAAATACGTTTTGGTACTATATTAGTCTTTATTGATATCAAAACTGAATACCAACATTTGTGAAAACATCATTTCAAACTAATATAGCCTCATTCGTTGGAAAAAGATTGGTAGAATAGATGAATAGATTGTATGAACTACAAATCCAAAGAAAATATTCGAATATAGAAACACAGAGATCCAAATGAAATTTCCAAATTTGAACACTCACTCTCTCCATATGTTGGTAGTGTAACAAGTTACAAGTAATGAGAAGAGGTAGTAGCCACAAGACACACCACCAAGTACGGTGAATATACCTAACTAAATTGACAAAAGGCCCAATCTTAATTAATTTCCCTCTTTCGTCTTCCTCTCTCCTCTTTTTTTTTTTCTTTTTCTCTCGCCTCTTTTTTTTGCTTCCGTTGGAGTAGTAGGGCATTTCTGCCCGGCGATTTTCCGTCGTACGATTCTCCACGGAACTCCGCTACCTCGGCCGCCTTACTAATCCTTTTTCTTTATTATTATCAGGTGATTAATTTGCTTTTTTTTTTTCGGAATTTTCGATTTGATTAATTAATTCGTGAAACCCTAATTTAGTTTCTATTTCAATCATGTCTAGATTCATTTATTGTATGCGTATTTAATTGCTTCATTTTTTTATGGTTTGAGTGATTATCGTCATTGAATTTGTGTTCTGTGTGTGTTTGTTTTTTTGGGTTTGTTTGATGATCAGGTGAGAAAAACGAGTGATTTGAGGATTTGATTATTGCTACTAGCTGGTTAATTTGAGATCGTGAAAGGGAGGGAAATTGATTGAAGTGATTTGTATTGTGTTAATTTTAAGGTGATTAAAGGGGGGAATTATTTTTGATGCTTTTTTTGGGGTTAGGGATCTGTCGGATTTCAGGTCGATGGCCAATCCGGGTGTAGGCAACAGATTTACATCTGTGAATCTGAATAAATCATATGGACAGTCCTTGCATTCTAATCAATCAAACAGTAGTAATTATGGACTGGGTCGGGGAAACCGGTCCAGTGGTGGTGGAGGAGGTGGGGGTGGGATGGTGGTCCTTTCTCGTCCAAGGAGTTCGCACAAAGTTGGGTCGAAGCTATCTGTTCCACCCCCCTTGAATTTGCCTTCTTTGAGGAGGGAACATGAGAAGTTTGATTCATTGGGTTCTGGTAGTGGGAGTGCTGGCGGAGGTGTTGCTGGTAGTGGGGCGAGACCTTCCTCATCGGGCATGGGCTGGTCCAAGCCGAGTGCAATTGGTGGAAGTGAGAGAGAGGGTGCTGGTGATCGGCCATTGTCTAGTGAGGGTAATCATGGGGTTCAAAATGTTGACGGGGTTAACAGCGGTGGGGTTAGTACTGCTTATATGCCACCATCAGCTAGAACTGATGTTTCTGTGACTATGATGAGTGCTGTGGAAAAAGCAAATGTTTTGAAAGGTGAAGATTTCCCTTCTCTGAGAGCTACTTTGAGTGCTGCAAATGTGCCATCCCAGAAACAGAAGGATTCAGCTCATCAGAAACACAGGCAGGGGATGAGTGAACAGTCCACCGGGGAACAGAGGGAGGGTTTGAACTTGAATTCCCATGTTGACATGCGTCCCCAGGTACAGTCTTCCCATCTCTCTGCTGGTAATGGTCTTGGTGTTAATATTAGAGAGGATCGTAGTTCAGCCAATTTCCGCTCTCAAGAAAAAGGCCGAAAGCAGGATGACTATTTTCCTGGACCTCTTCTGTTGGTCCGACTGAGCCCGAGGTCTGATTGGGCAGATGATGAGCGTGATACCAGTCATGGATTGACTGAGAGGAGCAGAGACCTTGGTTTTTCTAGAACTGAAGCTTACTGGGATAGGGATTTTGATTTGCCTCGGAGCAGCTTGCCACCACATAAACCAGCTCAGAATCATTTTGATAGAAGGGGTCAGCGCGACAATGATGTTGGCAAGGGTTTGCCCAACGAAGTCTCCAATGCCGATTCCTTTAACAAAAATTCTCGGGTACCGAGCAGAGAGGGCCATGAAGGGCAATCATGGAGAACCCCTGTTTCCAGAGATAGGTTTGGTTCCCAGGAAGGCTTAAATGACAGAAACAATTTTGGTGCAAGGCCAGCCAGTGTGAACCACGAATCAAATAAAGACAATAAATACTTCCCACCCCAACGAGGCAGCATCCGGGATGAGTATAATGTTGGACAAACTGCTAATCGGGATTATGCTGCTGGCAGGAGGGATCATGGGAGACAGCAGTGGAATAACTCGTCGGATCTAAATAATGGTAGAAAGCCAGAGAGGGACACCCGAGACTCGTATGCCAATAATTCTAATCGATATAAAGCTGAGGTTCAAAGTAACATGGGATTGAGATCCTCATTTTCTTCCGGTAATAAGGGGTTGTCTGTCAGTGATCACATACAGAATTTTGGCAGGGACAAGCGTTCCACTTCCAGAAACGAAAAACCTTATGTCGAAGACCCTTTCTCTGGATTTGATGGACAAGATCCTTTTCCTGGTGTTCTTGGGGCGGTAAAGAGGAAGAAGGATGCAAATAAACCGCTCAACTTTCATGATCCTGTTCGGGAATCCTTTGAGGCTGAACTTGAGAGGGTTCAACAGATTCAAGAACAAGAGCGGCAGCGTATCATCGAAGAGCAAGAGAGAGCTCTGGAGATGGCTCGCAGAGAAGAAGAGGAGAGACAGAGGGTGGCTAGGGAACAGGAAGAACACCAGAGACGATTGGTAGAAGAAGCACGTGAAGCTGCTTGGAGGTCAGAGCAAGAAAGATTAGAATCCATACGGAGGGCAGAAGAGCAGAGGATAGCTAGAGAAGATGAGAAACAAAGAATGATGATGGAGGAGGATAGAAGAAAGCAAGCTGCCAAGCAAAAGCTTCTGGAACTGGAAGAAAGGATTGCAAGGAGACAGGCTGAAACAGCAAAGGTCAGTAGTTCTGCTGCTATTCCAGATGACATGATGCCTGTGGTTGCCAAAGATAGAGATGTCCGGGCTGATGATTTCTCTTGCTGGGAAGATGGAGAAAGGATGGTGGAGAGGATCACAAATTCAGCATCTTCTGATTCCAGTCTTAGTAGACCTTTTGACATGGGGTCCCGGGCTGTAGCAGCTAGAGAATCTTCTTTTGCTTTTACAGATAGAGGAAAACCCTTTAATTCTTGGAGACGGGATATGCTTGAGAATGGAAACAGCTCGTCTTTCTTTTCTGCAGATCCCGAGAATGGTCATCAGAGCCCTAGACGGGATTTCTCTGTGGGAGGAAAGTCATTTCCTCGGAAAGACTTGTATGGAGGGCAAGGCTACATGCCTACCAGGGGTTACTACCGAGGGGGAATTCCAGAACCTCTCATGGACGATTTTCCTCATCCAAGGGGTCAAAGGTGGAACATTTCTGGGGATGGTGATCCGTATGGCAGGAACACGGACTTAGAAGCTGACTTCCCTGATAATGTTGCTGATAGATTTGATTTGGGGTGGGGCCAGGGCAGGGGTCGTGGAAATTCTCCTTTCCCAGAACGTTTTTATCAGAATTCTGATCTGGATGACCTTTGTAATTATGGGAGGTCAAGGTATCCTGCTAGACAGCCTCGGGTCTTACCCCCTCCTTCACTACCTTCTGTACATCAGACTTCCTTCAGAGGGGAAAGTGAACATCCTGATTCCTCAGCATACGAAGATGGAAACATTCAATTGAATCAGGCATCGCGAAGTGAGTCTGCTGGAGTAAGCTATCAGGATGCTCATAAAGAGCATTCAGAAATATTGGATGTCGCGGAGCAGAGTTCAATAAATGGGGAGCAAGAACTGAATCGAAGTACTACACCTGGGCGTGACTCGCAATCTTCACTTTCTGTTTCAAGCCCCCCTAGTTCTCCTACTCATCTGTCTCACGATGATTTGGATGAATCTAGGGAATCTTTGGCAGTGCACTGTAGGGCAGAAAGCCAAGATATTTCCCTTTCTGAGAATGAGGATTTACTCTTAAAAGCTAAAATGGTCAAAGGTAATACTATTGCTAGTGCGAGTTCAGTATCAGTAGGTGATGATGAAGAATGGACTATAGATAACAATGAGGAGTTACCAGAGCAAGAAGAGTATGATGAAGATGTAGGTTACCATGAAGAAGATGTACATGAAGGAGATGATGAGAATGTTGAACTGAACCATGAGTTTGAAGATATGCATCTGGAAGGGAAAGACTCTCCTCATATGGACAACATGGTTCTTGGCTTTGACCAGGGTGTGGAAGTTGGAATACCAAATGAGGATTATGATAAAAGTCCAAAGACTGATGAAAGTTTGTATACAGGACCTCAAGCGGCTGTCAGCATCCTGGAACAAAAAGAATCTGCTGATGGCAGTAGAGATGGACAAAGCGCACAAGTTGCTGATGTCTCGCAACTTTTGAGTATAGATGGTTCATGTGTGATAGTTCAAGAGTCTGAGAAAAATCTTGACCCAACTAATGTATCAATGTCATTAGATTCTTTGAATACAGGGGTTTCTACCTCTGGTACTGTTTTGAGTGCTCAGCAGTCAGTATCATCTCCTGTCATGACGAACTCACTGTCATCTAATCAGACCTTGCCTGGTGTAGCTGCTACCAAGGGCCCTGCTGACTTGCCTGTTAAGCTTCAGTTTGGGTTGTTTTCTGGACCTTCTTTGATTCCCTCTCCTGTTCCAGCTATTCAAATTGGTTCTATTCAGATGCCTCTCCAACTTCATCCACAAATGGGTCCTTCCTTAACTCATATGCATGCTCCGCAGCCTCCCCTCTTTCAATTTGGTCAGCTCAGATATCCAACTCCCATGTCTCAGGGAATCTTACCTTTGGCACCTCAATCGATGTCTTTTGTTCAGCCTAATTTTACACCAAGTTATACTACCAGTCAAGTACCTGGAGGTCCACCTGCTTCCAAGCCTGTTCAAGATTCCTCTCACAGTTCTGTGAAAAGCCATCAAGTTCAGCTTCCACATCAGTTGAATGCACATCAGCGTAGTGATTTCAAAGAGTCAAATTTGCTTGTTACACCAGGTTTGGGAACTAATGTTCCGTTGTGTCAGAATAAAGAAAACAGCTCCAGCATGGGCCAGATTAGGCCTGACTTGGGTCAACAAGCTGACAGTTTGGGGCGTCCTTGTAATGTTGGGAGAAATCCGAAGCCTTTGTTGAATAATAGAGCATCAGAAAGTCGAGTTGGGCCTTCATCATCTCATTCTGCTGTTAATGTAAAAGATTCTAGTGGGCCATCAGCCCAAGGCCAATTCTCGGGCAGCAGAGGGAGGAGATTTGCGTTCACAGCTAGACATCCTGGACCTAGGTCTTCTTCTTCTGCAAACGAGGCATCTCGATCAGATATCCATGGATTTCAGAGGAAGCCATGGCGTGGTCCACAGAGATTTGAGTTCCGTGTACGCCAGCCTGCTGACGGAAAGCAATCTTCTGTATTGTCTTCTTCTAGTTTCCCTGGACCGGATGCCAAGTTGAATTCTGATGGAAAGAATACTGAGACACAGCCGAAAAGTGGGTTAAAGAAAGAACTACGGTCTGATAAACCAAAACAAACTCTTGATTCAGAGATTTCAGGCTCAGATCAGATTCAGGTGTCTGGTTCTGGGATTGAAGAAGACAAGACAGCTTTAAAAGAAGCAGCTGCAACCAGTGGGCTAGACACTTCACATCGTGCTGAAGGAAGCTTGAAAAGAAACATTGGTTCAGAAGATGATGTTGATGCTCCCCTGCAAAGTGGTATCGTGCGTGTATTCAAGCAATCTGGTATCGAAGCCCCTAGTGATGAAGATGACTTTATTGAGGTCAGGTCAAAGAGGCAAATGCTGAATGATCGGCGTGAACAGAGAGAGAAGGATTTTAAGGCAAAATCTAGCAACATGAGAAAGGTATAAGCCTTTTTATTGATTTGATTGATGAAAATGTTATTTGTTTTCCTGAAATTTTTAACTTACTCTGTGTACTTCAGGCTCAGCGAAAATCTCGGCCTGCAGCCCAAGGTACTGCCACAACCAGAAGCACAAGCAGAGCGACTGCACCATTAAATGCACAAGCAACAAAGAATGTTCGCTCAGCTATCGCGTCAAAAAGAGGCTTGCTAATCAATGATGTGTCTGCAACATTGAAGAATGTAGGATCCCAGCCATTGGCTCCAATTGGCACTCCTCCAGTAGGTGCTGATTGTCAAATTGAAGACAAATCCCAAACTGTGAAGTAAGCACTACTTGAAGGGAAACATTCCTTGTCTACTTCAAATTTTCTCATTTTTCTGAAATGGTAATTATTAAATGTTTTCAGGCCACCACAAACAAATTCCTATGCAAACCATGTGCAAACTGTTGGATCTGATGCTCCTGACCTGACTTTTGATTCTCAAGGAAAGGCTGTTGATGGAGTTCAGTCATCTATTGGCTCCTGGGGTAGTCCAAGCATTAATCAGCCGGTATGCATCATATCATCAGTCGTAATTTCAATGTTTGCTTCATTGTTTCCATGTTTGTCTGCTGTAAACATAATTATAAAAGTGTGGATTTATACAGTGTACATTAATTCTTGACTACTTGTCTTTCAAGCTCTAAGAGTGAAAGAGGATGTGTTTTATAGTATTTCTGGGGGTGGATAAGAGTTAAGAATAGTAAAGCTGTTGAAATATGTTTAATTTTATTAGTGTTACATAGTGATGGAATGAGTCACTAGATAAACTCTTGTGCTTTCCTGATTTGGTTTTGGTATTATTATTAGAATTTTAATTTTTATTTTTATTTTTATTGTCCAAGTGATAAGCTGCTGCCGTCTCCTTACCTTTACTTATAAAGGAAACATTAATTAATTAACTATTACTTTTGTTATTAGTTAAACTTGTTAGAATTTTGAATTGCTTGATTGACTATTTGTAGGTTATGGCCTTGACACAGACCCAACTCGAGGAGGCTATGAAACCTGCTCATTTTGATACACATGTCGTATCTATTGGAGATTGTGGTAGCTCGGTCAATGACTCAGGCTTGCCATCGTCATCTGTCCTTGCAAAAGATAACACATTTTCTTCAGCAACTAGTCCTATTAATTCTCTCCTTGCTGGGGAGAAGATACAATTTGGTAAGTCTGGCAGCCATGAAAGGCAACCCGTGTTGTGTGTTAAATAATAACTATCTTCTGATCGATTTTGCTCATTGCTCTCCAGGTGCAGTCACATCTCCAACGATTCTTCCTCCAAGTACACGTGTTTCGCATAACATTAGGTCCCCTGCTTCTCTCCCGATGAATGTTCAAAGGCCCCAAAGTATGCCTGCATCGCAAAATCATTGTGATGTTCTTTTTGAGAAAGAGAAACATCCTAATGAGTTGTGTTCACCTTTAGAGGATTGTGAGGCCGAAGCTGAAGCAGCAGCTTCAGCTGTTGCTGTTGCTGCTATTGGCAATGATGAAGTTGTCGGGAATGGGATTGGTAGCTGTTCAACTACCATGTCAGATCCCAAAAGTTTTGGTGGTGCTGATATAAACAGGATTACGACAGGTATTATAACTTATCTTGTCTATTTGGCTGATTAATTGGATAGTGCTATCATGTGTATCATCCATGCTCACTTTTTTTTTTCTTCTTTATTATTATTTTTTTCTTTTTTTCTTTTTTGAGATTTCATAGGCATGTCGGGTGATCAGCATGCAGTGAGTCAATCGAAGAGTGACGAGACTTTGAGCGTTTCCCTCCCTGCAGATCTGTCGGTAGAGACACCACCAATCTCAATATGGCCACCTTTACCTAGTCCTCACAGTTCTTCTAGTCATATGCTTTCACCCTTTCCTGGAGGTCCAACTTCTCATTTTCCATATTATGATATGAATCCTATGATGAGGGGTCCTGTCTTTGCCTTTGGCCCCCATGAGGAGTCTGCTGCCCTGCAACCACAACCACAGAAGAGCAGTGTATCTAGTTCGGGCCCGTTAGGAACTTGGCAACATTGCCACACGGGTGTAGATTCATTCTATGGTCCTCCTGCAGGATTCACAGCCCCTTTCATCAGTCCTCCTGGAAGTATCCCCGGGGTGCAAGGCCCTCCACATATGGTGGTTTATAATCATTTTGCTCCTGTAGGGCAATTTGGACAAGTTGGCTTGAGTTACATGGGAACTACCTACATCCCCTCTGGGAAACAGCCAGATTGGAAGCATAATTCCTCACCTGCCTTGGTTGGCAGTGAGGGTGAAGTGAACAATACGAATTTGGTCCCTGTGCAACGCAGCGCTCCCAATGTACCAGCTCAGGCTCAACATTTGGCTCCTGGGTCTCCACTGCTGTCAATGGCATCACCTTTGGCCATGTTCGAAGTGTCACCCTTTCAGGTATCTTGAAATGGTTTACAACTTTACATGAACTTAATGCAGATTTTGTCCATCTCCTTTTCTGTCTGCGGCATGGAAAGTCATGATTTATTTTTGATGTGAGGTTGCAAGTGTGGGGTCTGTTTGGATGGTGAAGTGTATACGAGCACTTAAGCCATCCTTAGGTTTTCGTAAAAGATTAAACCATCTTGAGTTCTTGAGCAGCCTTTGCTATTCATTTTGTCTGGAGAGGGGAATGATTTATGATCTGGTATATGGCGCTGTTTTTCATATAATTAACTGTTTAATTTTCACTTTGCAGTCCTCTTCACCTGATGTCTCTGTGCATCCTCGGTGGTCTCATGTTCAATCATCACCCATTCACACAATGCCCCAATCTATGGCATTGCAACAGCAAGCTGAGGGCGTAATGCCATCTCAGTCAAGTCATGCATCTGCTGATCATCATTCTTTAAATGCAAGCGGCTTCTCTAAGACCCAAACATCGTCCTCACTTGAAGATGGTCGATCTTTTTCTATGAGTACAAACGCTGCTGCAAGCCAATTCCCTAATGAACTTGGTTTGGTAAATCCACCAGTTTCCATTGGTTCTGAAGCTTTGGCTCTTCATATGGGGAGCAATAGCCGGTCTGGGGATCCTGTAAAGGTTGATGCTTGTGCCGAAGGCTCTGGAAGCCAAAGGAACCCACATGTTGGAGCTTCTGCCCCTAACAAAGCCCAAGCGCAAATGTCTAAACAAAAGAATCCATCTGCGCAACAGCAGTACAATCATTATCAGAGAGGGGGAGGTCAGAAGAACAGCTCAGGGGCAGAATGGTCCAGCCGTAAAATGGGGTTCCATGGAAGGAACCACTCTTCAGGAGGAGAGAGGGGCTTCCCTCCTACCAAAGTTAAGCAGATCTATGTTGCCAAGCAAAATAACACCAGCGGAACTGGAACTGGAACTGCTCAATAAGCTGCGTAAAAAAGAGAACACATTATATCCAGCTTAATACCTCAAAGATGGTTCGGGCTAATCATCGTACTAAAGCAAATTACAAAGTTGAAGATCCCTCATATTAGGTGATTTTAGAAGTACTTAGCTTTTTGTTCCTCTCGTAAGCCCTTTTAATTTAACAAAGGGTTGTAAAAGTAATGATTTAGTTTATATGAGGAGAGTGGAAGAAGTAAACTAAGGGCATTGGGCTTCGCCGCTTTGGATTCGGTATTATTATAGAGAAAAATATTGTTTTATAGGGATTATGAGAGTTTTATGTGTTAATATTGTCTCTAATTATTGTGACAATATATGGATATCTTCTCACTCATTTTTGGCTAGTGAATTACTGATAAAACTCTTTCTAACTCTTTACTTTCTACTCCTATTTTCTTATATCTTTGATTATTCTTGTCCTTTAGAAAATTTAGCTGTTTTGGGCCTTTGGCTTCTTCTTGTTGGGCTGACAGCTGTTATATTGGGCCTGTATAACTGTCATGACTTTGAAAATTTGAAGGAATCAACCCACGGAAAAAACACGTGAGCAGGATCTATCCTGGAAAGCATTTAAAAAACCGCGGATTTTAACTTTTAAAAGCACAGAAGATGATGTAGTGTGAAACTCTTTGACAATTTGCTGTTTTTTTCCCACAGATAACACGGGGGCCCAGCTGGTTGTTGTAGCTCTATTCTATAGAAATAGAATCCAGCAACATGAAGTTTCTTTTCCTTATATAGAAATCATCGAATATTGTTGTACCACATTACTACTTTAGGAAACAGTAGACCGTAAAATGTTATTTTATTTTCAAGCATTTATAAAACGTGCTCTAATATATTTGTTTGTTAATACTTTAAGCATAATTGCTTATTGTAATTAATCATATTCCACGTGCTTTTTTAAATACAATCTTTTATGTTAATCACGAAATTAACATTGGTTCTTCCCATATTTTTCTTAAAAGAGATTTTAACCAACTTAAGATAATTGGATAAATCATAATTTGTGTTTAGCGTCCAAATATTCATCGTGTAAATTTGATAATCCCTTGTATTTAAGTGATTGTCCATTATCCATTGAGAAGATGTCGCCTTCAATTCTTTGTAGCATCGTTCAACATATGATCAAATAAATCAAAACTAATTGTATCTATTTCTAGTAAAAAAATAAAACAGAGACAATCTAATTAGTTCTAGACATGATCTAGGTACATGATAATATGTACTCCTATGCTATACTTAGGCTATATTTATACAAAATTACATTACAACATCTTTACTGTTAAACTACTCCATCCTTTTGGCCTTTTACAACTACCGTAAACATCTCTCTCTTTTTTTTTTTCCCTCCGATAGAGCCACAAAAAACAATGATGTAATTTAAATGCCGAATGACTGCTCCCCATACATTAAACACGGAGGGGTATTGTCAATCATATCGTTCATCCAATGCTCAAGCTCAGCACCATCAGTAATCTGCACGAAACCACTCGTCTCTGGCTCTTGATTAGTAGGACTAACATGATTATTATTGTTATTAGTCTGCTGCTCTTGATTCTGATAAAAGATATTATTACTGCTGTACTCTTCAAGCTGTGGAAGGTAATCAGAGACACTGAAATTAAGCTTAGCACGCGGGCCTCGAAACCGGACAGCAGCTCGATCATAAGCTCTAGCAGCCTCCTCGGCCGTCTCGAATGTTCCGAGCCACATCCGAACTGCCCGGTGTGGGTCCCGAATCTCAGACGCCCACTTCCCCCAAGGCCTCTGCCGTACACCCCTGTACTTGTTTCTGTTGTACTTTCTTGTCCTCTGTTTTCCACTGTTACTGCTACTACTACTAGTAGTAGTGTCTGCATTTTCAATCTGGGAATTTGGCGGGAGAACTGGTGACGTGGTAGAAGATGCTGGTGACCACGTGGCGAAGTTTTGTTGGTCTTGAAATGATTCAAATATTAAATGGGACCCATCAGATGGTGGTTGCTGATCGATGCCGCTGCCGCCCCCGGAAATGACTTGATTCAGAGCCGATACCATCATGTTCATCTCGTGGTTTGATTCCGAGTGCCAGATATCCGGTTTCTCATCGTAGAAGTAATAATTTTGAGTTGAATCCATCTACTAGTATTGATTTTGAAATTGTGTGTTTTTAAGGTAAGGAAAACAGAGATAGTTGAAACTGGAAAGTAAAGAAAATCAGGTAATAGCGGTTATATAAAGGGCGAGTGAGTGGACTAAGGACAGAGAGAAAAAAGTGGTCAACAGTCACAACACAGTTCACACACGGGGTTAATAAGAGTATGAACCGCTTTGACTTTATTACCAAATTATTAAAATTTTAACTGGGTCCAGCTGGTTGTCTGCTTCAATACTTTTCTGTTTTTTATTTTATTTTTCTTTGTGGTATAGTTGTAATATCTAATATTCCAATTTATAGAATAAGCCAATAAGGAATTAAGGATAATGTTTAATGTTCTATATATAAAATACAGTTTAACGTTGTGGTACTAGTAATTTATTCTTTTAGGCACTAAGAACACGTGCTCCTAATTATTTAAAATTATTTTCTTCTTTTCTTTTTTTTTCCCATGCGATGCAATCTCTAATGTATGTATTACATACTTCCTCCGTTTTTCTTTTATTGCACCATAAAAACTTTTACACTAACACTATATACGTAATCTTCTTTGACCATCTCTTCTAATTTATCCATTAGGTAAAATATAGTCATGTACAATCTAGTTAAATTTATCTCAAAATCTACTTTTCAAATATCAAATTTTTATAATTTTTACAAAAGTATAATTAAAGATATTAATAGCCAAAATAATGTATTAACAAGCGTAAAATCCTTCATGGTGCAATAAAAAAAAACGGAGGAAGTATATGAATATATGATCATAAATATTCGCTTTGATGGTAAAAAAGAGAAGTGGTTTTAATTATTTACTCAATCATGTGTAGTATTATATTTGTCTCAGAATAATCATAATACTTAGGCTTTTTTTTTTTTTTTTTTGATTTTTTAAAACATCATAATACTTAGGCTGATATATTTTGTATTTGTGTTATATTTGTATCATTAAGGACTTACTGTTATTATAATTTAATATATAATATTCTTTTTTGAATAGTAGTAATATATATTCTATATTATATATATTACTTAGGCTGATATATTTGTTGTATATTATGACAATTATGAAATAACAAATTTGTAAAAAAAAAAAAAAAAAACTACTTCGTAATAAAGTATTTTCTTTTTTAAGAAAGTGTTGCAATTATTTAAGAAAGATTAGATATATAAGTAATAATTTATGAAATTTCAAAGTACTTTGCATAAATAATTTATGCATTATTCTACTTTCTACCTTTCCATCAATTCAAGATGATTAGTCTCTTAAAAAGTAATTTTCATAAAAAAAAATTGCTACTCTACACCCCCGTCCAACAAGAACATTTGATTGGGGCCATTGTGAAATAATTGAGTCTGTATATTATTAAACCTTTTTCATTACTTCAAATTTTACATCTCCACCTAATTTATGTACTCCGGAGCATTTCTTTTAAATTGTTTACGTCATTTAATTTAGAGCAACATTGACACAGTTTTAGCTACTCTGCTAATTAAATTTAGAGCAACATTTACACGTTTTTAGTGTTGGAGACAGCAGAAGTATAATGGGTGATTGGATCAGATTAATAAGTAATATTTATAAACTATATGAGAAACGAGTAGAGCTGTCGCACCTACTTATATTTATTCTTGAAAATGAAATAATACCGAAGAATATGTTTTCTTTTATTATATTCTCTTATATTGAAAATGATATCAATTACAGTTTATATAGGAAAAACTCATCCTAAATAAATAGTGATAGAAAATTTAGGAGCATTATATGCTTTACATTTTATTTAGGTTTTACTATTTTATTATTAGTTTTTCTTAATTTTACTTATCTTAATATAGTTTATACATTGCACAATTAACTTTTATCTCACATTTAGCTACTTAAATTAAGAAAGTGATCTATTAAAATAAAATCCAAGCTCACCCATTCTCTAATCTTTAATTTCATCAATAAATATTAGAATTTCTTCTTTGTAAGTAGTATTTTGTAAAATATTGAAATTTTATAAGTTGGTAATTTCAATCAGCATGTGTTCTATCATCTGCTGATTTTTCATCACTCAACCCAAATTCCTTACTTTTTTTCTTCTTCCTTCATATCGCTCCTTTTGTTTTGTTTATTCATTTACTCATCTTTATCTATTGTTGTTATCCACATAATGGCTTCTCATATTATTTATATCGGTGTCACCCAAAATGTAAATATTAGTGAGGGGCAAAAGACTGATTAATAAAATTAACTACACGTTGTATTTATATAATTCCCCTTCTCAAATTTAGTTTAGTCTGTCCATACAAAAATTTAGCCAGCTAATTCAAACAAACTAAGCTATCTAGTGTTAAATAGACCTCGGTGGCTAAATAAATAAAATATACATATATATGTATGTATATATGTATGTATATATATAGTGCCGTGCTCTACTATACAAAACGATGGCTTAATTGACTAATTCCTTAAAATTTTAAACCATGCCTATAAACTCATTCGATGTATTTAAAATTTACTAACATAAAAAACAGAGACTAACTAGTTCTAAACATGATTTGGGTGAAAAAAAAAAATTAAAAATTTCCCCCAACCCCCTAAAAGTTAAGAAAGCACAATATTTTATATGCAACCCTAACTACATATGCATGAACTTACAAGAGAAACTCCTGAATTTTGGAGCTACATAAAAAGTAAAAAATAAAGAATAATAGCCTAATATACTACCCTTTTAAAACTATGATAAATGTTGTCGCACCCCCTTTTTTTTTTAATTTAATTACCACAAAGAATAAATAATGTAGATTTTAAAAGTCGATCATTCAAACGGAGGACTATTATCAATCATGTCATCCACCCAACTGGAAATTTCCATACCATCGGCAATCTGCACGAAACCACTCGTCTCCGGTTCTTGAATGGTAGGACTTGCAACAACCATTTGTTGTTGTTGATTACCATTGTTATAGTTAACCTCTTGATTATTGTTATGAAGTTGTTGCTGTTCTTCAAGCTCTTGGGGGTAATCAGTGAGTGGAAAGTTAAGCTTAGCGCGAGGACCTCGAAATCGAACGGCAGCACGATCATACTCCCTAGCAGCATCCTCAGCAGTCTCAAATGTTCCTAGCCAGACTCGAACCGCCCGGTGCGGGTCACGAATTTCTGCTGCCCACTTTCCCCACGGCCTCTGCCGTACACCTCTAAACCTGTTTCTATTGTACTTCCTCCGCCGCTTCGGTCCTCCATTGCCGCCACTGGTACTAGAATTTCTACCATTATTTGAATTTTCGGAATTTGGCGGGAAATTCAGACTCGTGGCGGAAGCAGAGGGAGATGACGTGGAGGTGTTTTGATTCTGTTGAAGTGCTTCAAGCACTAATCTGGACCCATCATCAGATGGGTTTTGACTGCCGCTACCTCCGACGCTACCGCCTCGACCGCCAGCAATGACGTTCCTCAAAGCCGAAACCATGACATTCATCTCTTGCTCTGGACTCAACTGCCAACTTCGTGGTCTATCATTGTACACATAGTATTGATTTGATGTAGCTTCCATTTTTTTTTCTCTTTTTTTTGCAATTTTGATTTTGTTAAATTTGCGCTGAATTCATTAATTTTTTCAAGTGACTGCGCTTATATATGTATTGTAGGGGCAGAAATGGAAAAAAGAGAAAATGGTCAACACAATTGACACACGGGTTACATACGTGATATGTTATAAATACGACAAAAGAGGCCCAAAATGATAATGACAGCAAAGAATTTTTTATTTTTTTTTTATTTTTTTATTTTTTAACGGGAGCAATACTGTGGATTTGTGGTCAAAACAATTGTAGATTATTTTGTTGCTATAAAAAAAAATGAAAAAGTGACAGGTTTTTTGTCACGTTGGAGTAGTATAATAATATAAAATGTGTGGATGCCAGGTGGATGACACTAAATGGGCCAGGTGGGAGCGAAGGACCCATCCACGTCATGTTGTGTTATTAGCTCTTTATTGATGTCAACTTCATTTTCTTTCTGAATTTTGAAATTTTTTTAGCTTCCTGCGATTTTGCATGAATGGATGTCATTTTGTTCCTCACATAAATATCTAAATTAGGATAACAAGGTATTTGTAGTGGGCGTTGACTGTTGAAAAAGGTGTACTTTATTTTATTTTACCACAATTTTCTTTGTATAAGGGCGCTGACTGTTGTAAAAGGTGTACTTTATTTCCTTTTCTATGTATATAAAGGGTTGACTTTTGTGTTATACGGAGTAGTATTGTATATAAGGTATAGACGACTTAGGCGTATAGTTTAGACTTTGATTTGTTTTAATTGGTATTTTAAGTGTACCGTCCAATTATTTTAAATATTTAATAGACTAAATAAAGGATTTACTTTCTAAAAATAGAAAGTTGTATAAACAAATGACCAAATTTATAATGGTAACAACTCTATTTGTAAGGACCCTTGATTCTTTCTAAATTCTAATTGGTATTTTAAGAGTTAACCGTTCAATTATTTTAATGAATTTAACTTTCTAAAATTAAAAAATTCTGGCCTATAAGAGCATTTTTAATGGTAAGCTAATAGTCAAATAAGTTTGCCATGCTAAATAGAATTTTAAGCTAACTCTCTTCAACGTCTTTTCTGTGTTGCAAGCCACACCGTATGGCCGAGTTTACTTATTCAAGGGTTATTCGATCGGTCATGGGTTACTTGTTCAGAGATTATTTATTTAGGGGTTATACAGTCAGTCAAGGGTTATTCAATCAGGAGCTACTCGTTTGGCCAGAGATTAGGAGTTACTCGATTGTTCAGAGGTTATCCCTAGATAAGTAACCCCGACCACACGGTGTGGCCAGTCACATACGGAACTTTGTGAACTCTCTTTGTAGCTATTTCTGCCCCAATGATTAGCTAATGGCTTGGTATTTAAATAAGCTTAATATTCTCAATTAGCTTTAAAAATTTAATTATATTAATATATAATCTCTAAAATTTTGGAAACTATTTTCTCAAGCAAATTAAATTAGCTTGGGACAAGCTAATTTTATTTTTTAGCTTCAATGGTCAAACTGATAGCTAGGGAATTTTGAAAATTACAAGCAAATCCGTAGGTACAACCATTAGAGTTGCTCTAACGAACAAAATTGTAGTGGTACTCATAAAAATTTTATTTATAATTTTATATCGAGTAAAAGATAAAATTTTGTAAACACTTCCCACATACGAAGCACTATTCTTATTGTAGTATAGTTTTATTTACAAAATAAATCAATTGTACAAATTAAGTTAGTGTTGGGAATATTTTGAGAATAAGAAAAATATAAAGTTATCCCTAGATTCCCTACTAATATACTCCTTTTCTCATTTTCATTTAGGATAAATATTATATTTGCAAAGCCAAATCCCTATCCAAATTGCACAAATAAACTCATGAAAATAAATAGTAAAATTTGTAAGAAATTACGTTGTACCTTATAAAACACTCATGTCGCAATTGATTAGCGTATAATTTTTTATTTTTAATTTTTTTAATTAACTACCTTATATAAACAATTTTTTTTTTGTTGATAAAAATATGGCATTAAAGTGTGCAATATGGTTTTATTTAGAGTAAAATGAGTATTTACCCCACAAGCTAAACTTTTGACAGATTCTATCTCAAGGTAATTTTATCAACCAAAAAAAGTTCAAATAATTAGTGATTTTATCATTCTTATTGACAAAAACAAAAAAAAAAGTTCATTTAAATTAGTAATGTTAAGAAAAAAAAAAAGTGTGTTTTATAAAGTAGTTTCCTCAAAAAAAAAAAAAAAAAAAAAAAAAGACTTTGAGATTATAGTTCTTGTCCTTTTCAATCAAACACCTTTTAGAGTTTTAGATATACGAATACTTACATAAGAAGTAGAGTAGTAAAGAATTGTTGGTCTTTGAGTAGCCTAAAAGACAATTTAGAAGACTAAAGACGGGATGTGACAAATTAACAGCAAACACCATGAAGGAACTTGGAAGCACTGCATGAATGCTTGTCACTCACTCACTCACTCTTTGAAAATTCCTAAAACAACAAAACAGTCTAAATTAAGGTCCACAACTCACAACCTGTTGGCTAATTCCAACTAGATTACAATCTGTACAATCTGTACAATCTGCACTAAATTGGTGAATAAGTCTCTAATTCCAACTAGATTACAATCTGTACACTGAAAGTGACTGAGCTGCTGAATTTAAAGGCTATTTTAGAATTTTAGTGAGTTTGGTAACTACCAAGTAATAGTACAGCAACTGCCAAGCCATTTCTTCCGTCTAAATTACTTACTAGTGTTTTCTCTTTCAAACACCTGTGTTTCTGAGAACATTTTACAAACAGCTATACACTATATGGCTACGGAGTATATGCTACCATGCCGAAAATTGTAGATTTTGCAACATTGATTAACAATCTTTTGTCAGGAAGCCTAGTTTTTGGAGGTTTCTAACAATTGTGGGAAGGAGAGAGGATGTTGTATAGGAGATATTCAGCGTGAGTGAGACAGTGTGTATATCTCTTCATTTCTTGCAGGGTTATCCAGAAGACGGAAAGAGGCATTAATGCCTATGTCACCCTAATGGTTTGAAATGCTATTGAAACCAAACACTTTAATGGTCCAGCTAACCATCAGAGGGCAGGGGAATGAAAAGAAATAGAGGGAAGGGAAAAAGGGAATTTGTTTTCTTCCAAATACTTCCAATCTTGCAGTGTTTAGGTTTATTATATCGGAAGCAGGACCCTTCACTATCCCAAGTCCCAATAGTCCAAATTTTTTTTATCCAAAACCTGAAATGAGCCAATGATTCCATATAATAACCACACTGAAACCTCAGTGGCCTCATAGTTTCTGTCCTTCGAGCATGCTAAACCCAGAAATTTTTCTCAATTCTCTATCTGAAATTATACTCCTCATTCTGTTTGCGTCTTGCCATCTTCCAGCACCTGCATAGATGTTATGAAGTATCACATATGCTCCAACATTTTCAGGGTCCCTATTAATAAAAAACTCCCCAGCTTTTTCCCCAATTTCAAGATTTCCGTGAACCATACAAGCACCCAGTAAAGACTCAAGTATATTGGCTGAAGCTCCATCCGGCATTCTCTTAACAATGTCATATGCCTCAAGTAGCAAACCTTTTCTACCAAGAAGGTCCACTACACAACCACAATGTTCAGTTGTTGGTTGAAGCCCATTTTTTTAGCATTGAATGGAAAATTGCATAGCTTTGATTAGCTAACCCAGCATGGCTGCAGGCTGATAAGATACTAAGATATGTTATGCTATCAGGCTTTATTCCTGAATCTTCCATTTCCGACAAAAGAGAAATTGCACTTTCACCATCCCCATGTAATCCATACCCATTTATCATGACACTCCAAGAGACAACGTCCTTTTCTGGTACACCCTCAAATACTTTCTTAGCCATCAGAATATCTCCAAATTTTCCATACAAATCAATAAAAGCATTACTAACTGTTGTCTCTCGGAGGAAACCATTCTTAATCGCAGATGTCAATATAGAATTAGCGACAGAGCTGCTGTTTATCTGAATACAAGCTGAAACCAAGCTCAGAATGGTTATATAGTCCACTTTAACCTCTGTTTGAAGCAATTCACTAAAAAGAGAAAATGCTTTCTCTACCTCTCTTGCTTCAAACAAGACCGACAACATCACATTCCACAAAGAAATATCCGATTTATCCCCAGCCTCAAACAGTAAGAAGCACGAAACTATATCGTTAAACCTTGAATACAAACAGATCAAAGATGTCACAAAAGGAGCTTGCAGCATAGCCCCTGTTGTGGTGGCGTAAGAGTGAACTGATTTACCTTGTAAAAGTGTAGAGCAACCAGGCAATACATTTAGCAATGTAATGTAATTTGGATTTTGACCATCTTTTATCATATTCTTGAACAAGATTATGACCTCTTTGTGTAAATTGTGATGTCGGTAATTAGTGATCAATGAATTCCAAGAAACCAAACATCTGTCAGTCATTGAATGAAAAAGCATTGCAGCAGCATCCAGGTCCCCGCAACTAGAATACATGCTAATCAAAGCATTAGCTAATGTAACATCAAAAGTGAAGCATAACTTGAGAGCAAACCCATGTAGAGCCATCCCTCGTGCCAAATCATCACTCTCGGTCAGACTAGAAAGGATACTAATTAGGCTAACAACATCCGGTTGCACTCCTTGAAGCTGCATTCTCAAAAATAAGGCTGCAGCCTTTCCCGTTTCTCCATTATATGCACAACCAGATATCATCGTGTTCCATGAAACAGTATTTTTTGAGACCATCAAATCAAAAAGCTTAAAAGAAGAGTGGAGTTGACAGCAGCTAGAATAAAATTTCAAGAGAGCATTCAACACATTATGATTTGAATCAAAACCCTTTCTTATAGATATGGCATGAGCAGACTTACCAAGAAGCAATGCCACTAGCTCCGAGCAGGCCGAAAGAATATTGACAATGGATATTGAATCTGCCTCAATTCCTGTAACTTGCATCTCATGGACAGCATTTAGACTCGTTTGTGAGAGGCCATGATGCACATATGCTGAAATGATTGAATTCCAAACAAGAAGGTTTTTTTGAGGCATCCAAGTGAAAACATCTGCTGCTGAGTGAACATCTCCTAGCTTCTCATACATAGATATAAGAGCTGTTGCCACAGATATCTGGTTATCCATCCCATGTTTTACAGCATACCCATGAAGGATTTCGCCATGGCCGTAAAGATTTGCCTTTTCACAGCATGGGATCACAGACACAAAAGTGGCTACATTAGGATGAAAACCGGTAGAGAGCATTTGCTGCAACAATTCGAAGGCTGCTTCAGGCATTTGGTTATGTGCATGAGCATAGATCACAGAGTTCCAAATGACCACATTTTTTATTGGAGAAAGATCAAACAAGCATCTAGCAACTCGAATATCGCCTTCGCTAGCATACATTGAGATCAAAGCTGGTGTCAACAACTCATCTTGATCAAACCCACATTTTAAAGCATAACCATGTAAAGACCAACCCGAATACCGGAATCCTAAACGGGTACAAACAGGAACAATGCTAGCCAAAGTTATCACATCAGGCTTCACTTCATTCACCCACAACTCTTGCAATACCTTAAGTGCTTCAGAATCAAGGCCATTAAAAGAATAACCTGAAATCAAAGCATTCCAAGAAACCACATCCCATTGAGACATTTTGTCGAACACCAACCGTGCAATGTCCATACACCCAATTTTCGAGTAAAAATCAACAAAAGCAGTCTGAACAACCACATTCCTACCATACCCAGTTCTAATAACAACACCATGAATCTCTTTACCATATTTTTCATGACATAGAACAGAAAACGCCTTAATTACATAAGGAAATGTGTAATCACCATCTTTAGTACCAAAAAACTTGCATGTTTTATACACAGAAATTACATCTTGGTATAAACCCAAGTTACAAAGATGCTTAATAATCAAATTCTGCAAAAGTAAGCTGCGATTATCTGATGCATCAAATGCAGACAACCCAAGTTCAGGGGTACCCAGAAGGAAACATCGTTCAATAAACTCAGAAATAACACGTTTATAATGAGCTAACCCAGTGACTATTATAAGTGATTTGAGTGGTTTTAAGTCCTCAATTTTATTGGTGAGTTTTATTTTTGATCGAACAAAGCATTGGGAAGAAGATAAAGTTGCAAATTTTCTGCAATTGACAAGAAATAAGTTGGAGAAAGGAAGAAAGTGGATTAGAGCTTTCAAAACCATGTCAGCTTCATCATCTTACATTCTTAACCGAGGTGCTCCCTTAATTTTTCGGTAAGGTAATAATGTATACAAGATTGGATTTCAGATAAATCCGCATCCACCGTTAAATTTGTAGGTATGTCAGATTGTCAGCTTCAATTTTATTTTTGTGAATAATAGAATGTCAAATGTTATGGAGAATCAAATGTCCAATATCCGAATTTGAAATGGGCTTAGTTCAATGGCCAATTTGAAAGACTGAAATAGGCTTTTTTCTATTTTTATTTGATGGTATTTGGTGGGCTTCTCTTTCATACACTACAAAGTACGAGTACCTTTTGTTTTTAAATGAATTACTACCTCCGCCCGTAGTTACGTGCAACAAAGGACATAAATACGGACTCCTAGGAAAAACTTTTAGGGAAGTGTTAATTGAGTTTTGGTGGGTTTAATTAATGAGAGAGAAAGGTAAAAATACAAAATTACCCATATGATGATATATATAAACTAAACATTTAAATGTTGAAAAATAAGGGTATATTTGGTATTTGTAGTGTGAACACAAATATTTGTAGTGTGTTTTAGGTAGTGGGTAATAGGTGGTGGGGGGACCACTAACCAAAAGTGGGTAATAGTGGGTAATTAATAGTTAAATATTACCCAAAAAGGAAAGAAAAAAATTTGTTGCAAATAATACAAAGCACCCCTTTTTAACAAATGTTGCAGATAACCTCGGGCGGATGGAGTATATTTTTTTCCTTTTAACTTTGATCGATATAAAGTATAGTTTAATGGTACCAATAAGATTGGTTTTTGAAAATCATTACGCGAAAGTGTCTTCCACAATCTAGGGCTAAATTAGCGAATGTAATCTTATATGGAAGGTGTAAAAGAAGTTAGTCGTTTATTAGACGGCCCTAATTGTGGCGGATATGAGGAGCCAGAGGAAGGGGAGAGAGATGGACAAGAAGATGGAAGAGGACAGGAAGATCATTTATATATTGATTAGTACATAAAATGTGGGAGGGGCAAAATTTATGCTAGGGGTGGTAATTTTGGCTAGTAAATAACAATAATGCACTAAAATATTCAAGCTTACTACTCCTTCCGTCTCACTGTTTTCTTATTTTGGAGACTTAAAATGTTGTTTCTGTTTCAATTTTTGGATAGTATGTCAAGACCGTTATATCCTCATTTTTAACTTTATTCATTAAATTTCTTAATTTACCCTTAAATTATCCACATTGTATTTTTTTCACTTTCTCTCTTTAACTTTTATCTATAATTGTACTTTTCACTTTTTTCCCCCTAAATTATCCACTTGGCTTGTACTTTTGTTTAGGTTTTTCCACTTTTAATGTACTTCTTTTACTTCTCCTCTCATTTCTTAAATATCATGAAAAAAACACAATAGGAACTATATTATGCAACGAAGGGAGTATGTGATTTTACGTTTTTTTTTTCATTATTAAACACTTTGTAATTACTAATCGTAATATTTTGACTTTTAAATATTTCAACTTTGTTACACTATGTACTATTAATAAACTTTAACCAGTTTGAGGTAATATATAATTAAATACAACAAAATACTGTATGGAAAAATATTGTTCAATTGTTCTTAATGTAAATTTTCATAATGATCACTTTTTTCTTCTTACAATTTGACTTATAGACAATTAAAACCCAAATTTATTTTTTAATAGAAACTGAAGTCAAAACAGTGTTAATTTGTTATGTAGTCAAAATGTCAACGTCCTTACAATAGTGGTCTCCAATTTCAACAAGCTTCGTTCTTCTTTTAAGACCACAGTTGATCCCTTCATTGGAGATCAGATGACGATTGACGACCTAATTGTTTTGTTGTCAAATTTTCATTCGGTATTTGTCAATGGTCTTCAAGTACACTACTTTCTGTTGATCCAATCTAGCTATATTACTAGATACTTCCGATTTCTGACCATATTTCGTGGCCTTGCATGCGCCAAATGCACGAATAAGTAGGGGAATTATATATTGTTAATACTTCATTTGTTTAAAATAATGATACCATTTTAATTGTCATACTTGCTTATGCACAAACAAGAATAACTTGATTTATATATTTTTTAAAATTATGGAGTATTCGATAACAATACAAAAGTTAAAGTGTTACAATCAGGAGAAGTTAGTGATTTAAGGAGTACTCTGATAACTATACTAAAATAGAATATTCGACCATCAAGCAACGCCACCGTCCAACCTTATATTTTTTTTTTTTTATTATTTTTGGTTGGTAAGGAAAAAGTTCCTACCAGGCCGGAACCTCTTATAAGTCCTCCTGATCCGGGTTAGTGAGCTAGGCACTTTAAAAGTAGGGGGAGGGGTGAGAAAATCCCTATCCTAAAATGCCTCTAATAAAGTTTAATACCACAAGCTCAAGATTAGGAGATGCAAAACCACTCTACCAAGCTATGCCCGGTACCGTCCAACTGCAGTTAACACCCTTTTGAGCCAAGAGATAATAAGCACTATCTTGTATCCAATCAGTAATCAATACAATTCAATCAATTCACAATGTCCATTAATGTTGTTATACATCATCTTCATACGGTATGTATTGGCACTATTTCAATCTATGGGGTGGTGTAACAATTGCACGTGTACAAATTTATGATTGACATAATATAATTACATATTACTATATTAGGCTATTCATTCTCACCTTATGTCAGCTTACACCTCACCTTAATTGCAAATGATGAACTTTAACAAAATTTGACCGTTGATTCAAATCTTTGGATTCAGCCTAATAGTAGGTTTTAAGTTGGACAAAAAAATTCGGCGAAAGAGACAAATAGTTCCATTAGTTAATTTTTCCTTATTTTGGATGGATGCAAACTTCTAACCTTGAATTTTGAATGTTAATGTCTAATCTAAAAACATTAAAATCTAGCATATACTAATGGTCGGCTATATATGCATGCATAATACATAGGTAATTAAATCACATAGCATCAATTTTGTTTCCTCTCCTTCACATCTTCAATTTGAAAAGATAGAATAAGTCAAATGTTAGCTGAATAATATACGACTTTTCATGTTAGTATGCATGTTTAAAACCATCTTTATCACTTTAATTCCTTATCTCATCGTGTCGTCTTAAAAATTCTTAATTACTACATGTAAGAGAATTAATAAGAAATAAATTAAATTAATCATTGTTAAATAACACGTTGGCTGCCTCACATTTTCTAAAGATATAAAGATATAGAAAATGTTGAAATTTTGAGCTGAGGAATTAGAGATCATACAAGTGTATAATTGGTGAAAAAAGTATTACAACCTCTGTTTCATGTTAGTTGCAACTTTATAATATTTTATATCTCACAAATAATAGCTCAAAATTACAACTAATATGAAACGGAGATAGTAATTGGTTGCATGCTTGCGTCACATAAATTAAACATACTGGATAATAGCAAGTCCAAGCAAAGCAATTAAATCATGTTTGTAATTTAGCGATTAGTTGTTAATTCCGTAAATTCTAACTAAATGCATGCATTAGATAAATGTTAGTTGTTAGCGAATTGTAATATATAGCTATCTAGCTAGTCTGAATATTTATTTATATTATATCAATTTGCAAGTGAAAAGTGTTTGTTATATTGCAAATAGCTACTACGCACTTCATTACATCAATAACCAATAAGGATATTTACCGGTAAAGAAAAGTTTGAAAGAATAATGTGTATTAGACTTAAGACATTTATTATTGTCAATCTATATAGATAAACAGCACAATATATACAATGACTATTTTAGTCATAATTGGCTCCCAATAATAAAACTCTATTCATAATTTATAGTACTTTTACATTTACAACATGCTATTGTAAAATAAAATAAGTTAAGGCCGTTACCAAATCAATTACTCCATACTCCATAAGAAAAATTGTCCATCTCTTTGAGATGTTTTGCATTATTTATTATTACAGTTGCATAAAAATAAATTTTTAAAAAAATTATTTAAAGACAAACTATTTAAAACTACTAAGGTTGGCTTGTTTAATCAATCCAAATTAAACTCATGTTATTAAAGAGCTTAAATAATTAGCTGACTTGGTGTACCTATCGTCTGCCAAGTCAGCTAGCATTATTGTAACATACACTATGCTAATTTGCTATTGCTATCTAAGACCATTTTCTTTTACTATTACTACTGTGCTATGCATGTGTGCTATTGTTGTGTTGAGTTTGATTGCGATAATTTCCAGAACTTCGTTGGGAGTCCTTGTTCCGGTATTGGAAATGGGCCATATTCAACACCACCCTGGGGTCCCACCACTTCCCACCTGCCAAAAAAAGAAATTAGAATTTTTTTTGTCATTTTATTTAATTACAAACTTTATATCACTTTCATTTGTCTAAATAGTACAAATTGATGTATGCATATTTGCACAATTTGGCAATTTGCTAAGCTAATTATGTGATCAGTTAGTTATGTTATCTATTCAGCACAAATTAAATACTAATAAAAACATTGAGTTAAAAAACACATAAAAATGTGGTTACTATCAAGTTTTTTTCACCAAATTTAAAAATTGCAACTTTTTTGTTTTGTTTACCTCCAAACGCATGCATCCATGCAACATGAAAATACGACCTCATAAAATTATAAAGTGAGGATGTGATTATCATGTTTAATTATTTATCATGCTTGTATTTTGAGGAATTGCTGCCTTCACATGAGAATAAATGCATGAATCTCATATGCAGAAATGACTATATGAGCCAAAAAAAAAATTGTGGTTTTGATCGGTAAATAGTTACTCGATTTTTATCACTTTGATCCCTTCTGCAGTTGTGCTAGGCATTATTCACCTTATTCAATGTGCGGTTTCAAATTTTGTAAGACTTGATATATATAGTCAAATTAGTACGTATTTATCGTCTGAATTGAATTACTATCTTTATAATTATTTTTTACTCTAATTTAATTTGATTTTAATAGGAATACGTATAATAAGTAATAAATAATAATGAGATTAGAGTGAAGAGAGCAAATCTTACTCAAAGTCTTTAATTTAATTTATTTATTGATCAATACCTGGCAAAGTAAATTGTTTTGTATTGTGCTAAATTATAGTTTTATAGCTTCATTACAAGGATTGAAGAAGAACTAACCAAAAAATAAAAAAATATGTATAATCCAAGCAAATCAAACTATATAATTGATGATATACGATCTAGTTTTCTTCTACATGTTACTACGTATTTAGGATGCATGATGCATTATATATCAATAAAGACAGTACATGTAAATATACCTGAATTGGGTGACGAGATGATGGATAAAAACGAACATCAACAACTTGGCGACTTCATTTCCAGGACATGCATGGGCGCCATAACCAAACGGCATAAATGTGTGGGGCTTATTATTCATTGTAGCTGCCTGCACTTATACGGCACCAACATACAACATATTATTACTCATTAGTACGTACTTGAATTAATCTAAGCATTGATTTGTGACGATCTTGAATTATTGCAAGAAAATTTTTTATTTCTTATACGGAAAAAAACATACCTCAAATCTCGAAACATCAAATGTTTCTGGATCTTGAAAAAACGCCGGATTATGATGGATGTTTCGAAATAATGGTAATACTTTCCACCCTTTTGGTATTAAGTACCCTGCATTAATTCAAATCAACAAATTAAATAAATTAAATTCCACTTCTGGAAATAATGTATCCAAGTAAATAGGGTTATGTTTTCTTCCAGAGATGTATAGAAAAGTAGAAAACTGTACATATATAGCATTGAATTATGATCAGAATATTCCATATCATTTTAGCTGCTAGAAGGTTGACATAAGCAAAGCAGAAAATGACTTGATTAGTGTCTGATTAACTGATTTAAATGGAATGTGTTTCTTTCTTTTTTCTTTTTACTAACAATAATATGTCTGCATCAAATTGTAGCATTTGACTTTATGTCTTATTTTTTTAATTCCATCAAAGTAATGTTGAAGCTCGCCGACTACCTAGTTTGAATAGGCGGTGTCTAGCAATTATGACGAAATATGGATGGACAAAAATCCGACCTAGCTAGATTGCTTAGATATGGTTTGATTTTCTTCGGTTTCCAGAGTTTTGCTATGGTGTAACTTTTATAGTACGTATTTCATGAAGATTATTGGTTTATCGCGATGGAGGCATGTTCCTAAATACATACTCGAAGTATGTAGTATGAGTATCGCCCATGTCACATCTCAACCCTTTTCAAACTAAACTACTGAATACGGGGATGATTCTATGATAGTCAACCTAAAAATGACCACTATTATACTAATTTTTTATTGGCTGATTTTGATTTATTTTTAAATATTAAAATTAATTATTAATCATTTATCTATTTTTTAAAATTTCATTATTAATTTTGAAATAATTTTTGATTTTTTTTTATAATTTTCCTAATTCAGTTTTTTTATTATTGAAATTAAAAAAAAAATCATTAATTAATTATTAAAATATAAAAAATAAATTTTAAAAATATGAAGAAACATTTATAATTAATTTTGACATAAAAAATAAATAAAAATCAGTTAATAAAAAATTAGTATAATAGTAGTCATTTTAAGGATGACTAACATAGAATTTTCAAATACGGAGTATTTATGTTTTAAAAGCTTCTTAAAATTTTTGTACTGGTTATAGGACTTGAATAAATATGATCAAAATAAAACACAACTAGCAGCACATTATTTACCATCATAAACAACATCTTCAACTGCTTCTCGATAGGTAAAAGATATAATGCTGGCCATCCTTAAGCTCTCCAACATAACCTGAATTTATGCACCAATCAGTTAACTAAAGCTGTATTTCAAATTATTAGGTAAAATATTTATTTAATTCTTTTATAATTAAGAACTTGACATGATTATACTTAAAAAAAAAAAAAAAAACACTTATTTGAAAGAACATAACATGTTACTTTAGCAGACGTGTTATTTTTTATTGGACATGGTACCTTATGTGTAACCGTCATCTCCTTAATTTGTGTCCATGTCAATGGTCGCTTTCCATTGTCATTAGCTTTGTATATTGCCATTTGCTCACTCTGAAACGTTTAATGAAAAAGAATTTTGTTAAGCAAACTTAAACAACATTGTAATTAAATGTCAAGCATGCATCTTATATTCCAACAAAAACAGCAAAGTGCATAATTAATAAATCACCTGTATGTCCTGAAGTAAATTGTGGTAATCAGTAATGTACTTCAGAATCCATGTCATCATACTAGCAGCTGTATCTTGAGCAGCAAATAAAACACCAATAACATTGTCAATTATTTGATCATCACTTAAGGGTTTTTTATCTTCATTGAAATTCAATAGACATCCAAGAAGGTCATTTGTTGCCAATCTTTTTTCTCTCCTTTCGTTCATTATCTCTCTTATGATTTGTCCCAGCCTCCTTCTTGCCTATATTTTTTTTAAACAAGAGCAATATTAGAAAACGAAAATACGGTGCATCTGTAAAAAAAAAAAAAGTGCGACTCTTGGATAGATCGAAGTTCATTTATGCACGCAAGGTTCAGAATTTCCGAACTTACTGTTACTAAGCTATTTCTTAACGGGAACAAGAAATGACAATATTTTACATGAACTAACCATGGTTACTCCAAGCTTAGCAATTAGTATCAAGTAATTTTTCTCCTTTTTCTCATGATTTCCTTTATCCAAACAAAGTATAAGTGTTAAACACGAATACACAGTGTAATTAGTTTCCTAACACTGTTTTTAATTTTATTCTCCAACTTAAAGTTTTGGGTGATTAAAACCTAAGCTAGCACTTGAAGGGCGGAAATGTAAGAAATTCTCTCAGTCAAATGTCTTTAATTATACTTGATTCAATATCGACAGGACTCTAAAGCAAGTCATACTACGTATATGCATAATGGAATATATAGGCATGTTAGATAATGCATAAGATTGAGTAGGAATATCAAGAAACATACCTTAACAGATTTGAAGTAAGAAGTGCCAGGGATCATTGTAGGAAAAGAGTTGTAACCCTTATCCAACGTGATGTAATTTTCCTTTAATTCTTCGTTATAGTAATTGTCCAGCTCACCAAATATCGATAGCACCGCTATGTCGAAAGTGAACTGCACACCAATCAAAATTAATAGCCAACACATCATTCATCAATCATTATCATATCTAGAATATACATTTAATAACCATGCGACAAATGAATTGTAATTGTTAATTAGTCACCGGAAAAAAAAAATAATAATGAAACTAAGTAGGTTACAAATTACATCCAAAATATTACGGAGTTACTATTATTACAACAGGACATTGTTAATGTGAACGTAAAAGTAGTTTCACCAAGTTAAAAAAATGTTCTCTTTATAAGAAAATAAATTAATTTCTACTATTTATATGAAAATGTGATAAAGTAGATTTAAGTGTAATACTTTTGAAACCAGAAAAAGATACATAGTTTGGACATTATTGTCTTACCTTCTTTAATTCATGGAAGACGTGAACTTCCCGACCGTCGGCCCACGAATCCAAAGTAGATTTGGCAATGGCTTCAATCTTGGAAATACGAGATTTAATGGAATCTAATGAAAGAGAAGCTTGAACCAATTTTCTTATTTGAGCATGGTATGTGCCTTGTTGAAAGAAAATTGCCATTGAACCAATCAATTTTTCCTTGCTCTTAGGATACGTAGGCTTGAACAAGTTAGCTTTGGTCATCAAAACAAACTTTAAGGCTTCCAGACTTGCTAACATGATGCATGGGCACCCTAATATGTGGGTCTTAAAAATGTCCCCATACCTAAAAAAAATATTCAAAACAAGACACCCATGTGAGAATTGAATTAGTACACGTACAAATTTATTGATTGACACGATCATATATTTTAAATTATATTTCTCCATCCCAAAAAGTAATCTTTTATAATCAAAAGTTGAATTTTTAAATAATATTATAGTGTTCGATTACTATTTCTTATATCTTAAGTAACTAAATTTTCAATTCATCTATTCAACCAATCAAACAACATCAGACGCTGCAAATCCCTCGACTACACATTCGTAAAACTTAAACCAATATAGAATGTTCATGGAGGATAATCGGGGTTCACAATAACCTTTTTTGCCTAGTGGTAAAAAACTCGTGTGGGCTTTGTGAGAAAAGCTCAAGAGTTTCACCAATATATGGCCAGCCCAAAGAACCAGGGGGAAGCTTTGCTCCATATTTGATAGATAGTCTCCATTGAATAAACTTTCTTACTAACAACAAACCATATCCAATTACAAAACTTGCCACTGTTAAAATCACTACACCAACAAAAATGGATGACATTGCGCTATCGCGCTCTCTCTCAATCTCTCGTTCTTTCTTTCTTTCTTTTTTTCTAGTTAAGACGCGCACGCACACGCACACACACGCATAAAATGAGTGGAAGCTAAGAATGAGCGATTATGCTACTTTGGGCGTGTATGTGTTACTTTGAGGATGTTGAGAATGGAAATAAATTGGGATTATATATAGCAACTTATGGAGGAAGGATTGTGAAGAGGGCCAATCTAGTGGGAAGGCCCACTTTGAAGTCATGAAGCTTTACTATTTAAAAGTGGTTTGGCCCTTGTCCAGCTGTTTGCTTATTAGAAGAGCCATTAACGTTCTTTGACGTTTTAATTTCCTGATTTGTTCACTTTTTGTTTTTATTTTCACTAATTAAGTTGCACTTTTAATTAGAGGGCCCTTTTTTTCCGTGTAACTCAGCTAGATAAAGACCTAAATAATGATTATATTGTTTCACTAATTTTTGCATGTGTATCATGATTATGATTAGGGATGAACAAAAGTTCTAGGTAATCAAACTCATAACTTGAATTGATTAGGAACTAGTAGTTTCCAAACCAGATTATAGCTTATATGACAAGATTACTTGTATTATAAGTAACAAACTAGTTAATCTATTAACTATTACTAAAACAGAGTATGTTATCGTCAGCACTGTCCACTTGTATCATATTTCACATTTTTGAAATTTAGATATTATAAACTTTTACCTTACAAGTTACAACTAAAACCTATCACTTTATCGTAGGAAATTGAAACAATTTTAAATAACACACTAATAAATGACCTTCTACATTGAAATATGTGTTAGGCGACATACATTACTAAACAGGTATAATATTATAATTTTGATGAAAATATAAAAATTTTAAATTACCATTATATTTTTGTACATAATTCTTATTTATATTCATGTATAATAGCCAATTCTTTTTGTTAAATATACAAATTACAAAAATAGGTTTTATATAAACTGTGCATCGCACCGGTTCTAACCTAGTACAAGTAATATACTCCGTACAATACTTTAATTATGTTTTTTTATTGGAAATAATACAGAAAATTATCCTTGTAACACCCCCGATTTACTAACTAATAATAAATGAGAATTAAAGAAAAATAAACAACCTTCAAATAAAATTGCGGAAGCATAAACCTAAATCGAAGGTATCACTGCCACGCTCAACAACTTGTCAAGTGCTAAGGCTTACAAAATCCCAACAATTACAACTCAATAATCTAAGTGAGCTATTAATAAACCTTTACAAACTCGTTATAAAATACTAATCGAAACACTTGAGCTCCTTTAGCTACGATCACTTGATTAACCTGTTACAATCTTGACTGCTCACGATTAAGGACAAATTCCAAAATAGATCGTTGCAGGGCCACCATAAGAAAAAAAAACATGGTCGCAAACACAAGTAGCAAAGCAAACAAATAATACACACGTCAGCAAAAAGATGAGTAATCACCATTGATCAAAATACAAAGAACAATAGAATAATTAACATAATTAACTCACTTAAACAATATAGTTTAAAACCACATTACACATTGCACTCTGGAAATAACCTTTGTCAAACTCAACCTCGAGTAATAATACAGAACTTTACTCAATTAACTCATTTATCCCATAAGTGTGCCACACTCTTTGTTTTATACATAGCCTTGGACACGAGTAATTCGAATAAATAAACCAACAAGTATAAAAACTTGAATACTCTCAATAACCAGAAAACACCTTAAACCATCAGTATGGGTCAAATCCCACTATAAGGGACCATAAAAAAAATAGTAAAAATTGTACCTCATTCTTAACTCATCGTTATCATCTCCTTACCGACATGCCAAGAACTAAGGTATATAGCGCTGAGCCTCAAACCAAAAACAAAATAATAAATTCTTAACCTTTTGATCTCACACTTTGATCAAATAACCATTAACAGGTTAATAAACAATATCTCAATAATGGCACAAGTTCCCAAATTAGTGTGATTACATATAATAATAATACAAACATTTCCAAATAGATTTGTGTGATTACGAGACAATAAATTATAAGCATACAACAATAATTTAAATGAACGTCAGATAAATTAGTAGATTACGAGCATGATTTAATAAGAATATATCTAAGTTTAAATTTACAAATATTCTATTTACCATAAATACCATTACTCCACAATAATAAAATAATAAAATGAAAAACACACAAGATACCTCGTTTGCAAGTTTGTATTGAGTCGGCTTCGAAACTTTGTATGTGGGACCATTAAAAATTTATGTGTTCCAGAATAATGTGAAGTACGGACCACAAAAAGAGGGATTTGTAGTACAAGATCTTTCGCCATTGGTCCCAAACCTTCTTATGATGATGATCAGCTTAAGTTTTCCTGATCCAACGGTAATCCATCACCCAATTTGGGCGGTGCTAATCACGTTCGATCTATCGAGAAGGTGGGTCCCTTTATTGTATCTTCACTGGCATTTGACGTGGATTTTAGCCCCTTTCCTCAACTATTGGGGCTCCTCTTTCATGCACATTGACATTGGACTCTTGGTTTAGTCACTATACTTCTATGTCACTTCTCATTTTTAATGGAGAATAATTCATTTTAGTTATGTTGAGTAATAGCCAATAGGAGTGCCATATAACTGTCTCTCACTAATCAATCGTATGCCATCATTTAAGGGGGCGGCATTGTCGTCGGTAATGGTGTTGTCCTGAATTTATTGAATACATGTATCCTGGTTATTGTAGCAATTTTTATTTTAAAATAACTAATACGAAAAATTGGAATTAGAAATAGTGGTTCATAATTTTCTATTGTCATTTTCTTAATTTATTTATGTGGTTAATGCACTAAGAGAGGGACCTTATATATTGTAACAATCCCGTTAACAGGATCAAGTTGTATATATTTTTAATAATATTAATAAATTATTTTCAACCAAAGTTTCATTGGTTTTTTCCCTTTAATTTTGGGGAGGGCATAGGACCAATTCCCCCCCCCCCCACCAAACAAGTTTTTCCTGTACAATATCTTACTACTATATATGTCATATATGATAATGTATCATAAATATTCATTAGATTTTTTTGTTTATGATACATTATATGATAATGTATCATACATATGTCATATATGATAATGTATCATAAATATATATATGATAAAAGTTTTTTTTTACCTGACCTATTTCTTTTATCACGTTTGTCGATGTACAACTTTGACCATCCATAACTTTAATTCTCTATAAGTAAAATTTTTAAAAGTTATATATTGTGATAGTACTTATTTAGACTATTCTAACAAGATCCCACATGAACATGTTTTGCTTTATATATAATTCACAAAAGATGGTCAAAGGTGGGGTGGTGAATAGTGTAAAAAGTTAAAGCGAGTCAAGTATAAAAGAACGAAGGAAGTAATATTCAGTAAAAAAAAATTTAAGTTCAGTAAAAATAATTTCAATTCTTCAATAAAAATAATTTTAGTTCGGTAAAAAATCAGTAATTTCAAAGAAGAAATATAATAAGAAATTGGTAAAAATAATTTCAGTTTAGTAAAAATAATTTCAGTTCAGTAAAATAACTTAAGTTCAGCAAAATTAAATTAAATTCAGTAAAAATAATTTCAGTTCAGCAAAAATAAGGCGAAATAAATGAAGCCTAAGCATAGATATCATCTATTTAAATTCATAAATTGGCCAATTTCAATATACTCCGTATTAAAATAAATAAAAGTAATCCTCTCACAATCCTGCAACCCCACCTTAGCTCTCCCCAAATGGTAAGGGAATTACATCCCCTAACATACTTTGTATGGATAGTTTTATTTTTTCATTATATACACAGAATACCCTAAACTTTAAAACCTCTACTTCACTCCTACCTTCAATCCCCCACCTTTACTTTCTATAGTAAATTAACAATCCCATTTAACATAGATCCCTCAAAATATTGAAAAACTCAATGAAATCATGATTAAAAATATTATATTGAATCCAAATTTGGTCACTATCATCTCACCTGAGCATTATGTTAGATAAGCCTTAATCATTTAGCTAGTCGAACTTTAGTAGTAGAGTAGTGGGTTTAGGACTTTAGGGTGGTCCAAATAACACCAACATACCCAAATGGAAGTTAATACCGTCCATAAACAATGAAAACAAGTTAGGTTGATGTCAAAAGCAGTAGTATTGATCGTTTGCAATCTCCCTATGAAAAGGGATCGTGCACCTCTCGAGGGAGCAACCATTTTAAATGGTACACAAACGCAACTTCAAGGGGGGAGGTGTTGATATCTAATTGAAACACTGGTTAATTTTTGCTCACTTTAGGCCCACGTTTGTAGTGGGCTGCCCATATCCAAAATAAAATCAGTCCTTCCAAATCCATCAACCACAATTTTTTATTCTACTTATACTCAGTATTTTTGTTTACTATGCATTTATTTTATATACGAAATTACAAAGACAATGATAAAAGTTATTTTCACCTCTAAACACTAATCCAGCACTACATAACAAAAAATACAATTATTTAAAGTCAAGTCAGATCAAATCACTCTAAGCTACTTAAAAGTTATTGTCAAACACATCTTATATGTTGAATGAATTTAGGTTGCACTTGTTGATGAGAAAGCTAAGAGAGTTAGACCACTTACAGGATTTAGTGACGTCTACGTCATTACAACTATACAATTAAGTTTTGCACGACCGTGTTTCTTCTCACAAATGGTGTCGTAACACCTTCAATTATCTTTTGCATACTTTATTTAGTATATTGTATGAGACATCTAGACAAGCCTAAAAACAATATCTTTGTATTTTTGATGTCATAACCTTCAAATCATAAAGTTCTAGATTGTATGAAGTACTCCGTATATTGATTGGAAGATGAAGATTTATCAGATGTTTATCTAACTAAGTACGTATGATTCCCTCGTATAAGACAATGATATTGTTTTCTCTATATCAAAGGATCCATCGAGCGCTCAATTGCTCGTAAAAATCAATTCATAATTTGTATTTACTTTTATTAATTTATCTATAATAAAGTTATTTCGAACTATTTAGATTTATGGGGAATTTGAGCGAACTATTTAGATTTATGGGGAATTTGAGTGTAATCGTTTGAGTATATTAGAATCTTAGGTTGTTTAGGATTCAATTTTCACAATATTTATTTTGAGGGGATTTTATGTGTGTTATCCGAAGGTGAGTGTTCAAGCGTTCCCCTTAAAACTCTCTCTCACACACACACCACCAAAAAAAAAAAAGAAAAAAAAAGAAGAGGAACTCAGGTTAAGTTCAACACTTCAACAAGTTCAACCTATTTCATACTAAATGGCCATATACTAGCTTAAATTAAAATAGGCCTTTTTTTTGTTCTATTTGTAAACATTTTTTAACAATTAAATACAAAATTCTTTGGAAATTCTACATCAATACAAATCCAATAAC